CCCCCCCCCCCCCCAACAAATTCTGATTGAAAAGGCACCACGCTTGTACTCGTAATATACACATAATATACACACCACTATTTTCTTCTCAATGTGAGGAACTTTTAATCATTGCGAATTTATCTCTGTCGTAAAATTCTGGTACATTTAAATAATGGAAGGATATATATATTTTTGAGGAAAAAAAAATTCAGTTTTGCCCAGTTATGGAAAAATAAAAAATCCAAATACTTAAAATATGCCTTTTCACTTTTAAGACGCTCATTTTGCTTGTGTGATTTTATTTCTTAGATGAATGATGCTAAAGTTCGACAAGGTCCTTCCGAATCCAATCGATCCACAGATTACAGACAAAGCAAAGTTTTCTTCTTGGATGGTCGAACGCCAAAGTTCGAAAGGTTCCTCAAACGGACCGATGCCTTGACTGGTCTTGGTAACGAAACGGCAGAGCCCGTTCAATTATCATATTATGATGCCGGCGGGTGGTACACCTCTCATTATGATGCTTTCCCGGTACGATTTCATCGGCTAATTAAAGCACAAATAACTAATTCATTTGTCAAGAGATGGAAAAAATTATAAACAGCCCTGAAATTAAAAGTCTGAAGCTTAAAATTTTCAAACATATGAATCGATTGTTTAAGAAAAGAGATACCGAGTCGTACGATATCAAATTCAAACTGATGGGAATATGTTCGATACGACCACTTTCATCTCTAAAACTGGATGTGAAACGTACAATCTAACGCTTATTTTCATTTTTAAATTATTTAATTTTATTTTTACCGACTCTTAATTTCTAACAAGAGAAAATGGAGAGCGGAGCCTGAATTGGACGAGAATGATCTTTTAATTATTGCACAGAAAGAGCTTGATGCAAAAACGGCTTATTCCCCCCCCCCCCCTGGAATTTCTTCAAACTGTGTTTATGGATTCTCCATACTTCAGCGCTTCTTTCCCAAAATTTCCAGACCCCAAAAAAACTTTGGGGGAGCAAGGGGGGGGGGTGGAAGTCAAAACATGTGAACCTCGATATCTCTCAAACGAAGAAAAATATCTAGCTCTGAATTGGACGAAAAATCGTTTAAAATTGCGAACTTTAAGATTCTTAAGGTAAAAATCCCAAAATCACATTTTCAAGTTAACAAATGTGCTTTTTTCAATTTTTGTGTCGAGAAAATTTATTTTCAACAAAGGACACAAAGAAAGTACTCAATTTTTTATTTGAACCAAAACCAGTTTTTTTTTTTTTTTTTTTTTTTTTTTTTTTTAAATTACTCGTCTTTTTCCGCGTCCGAAGAGTGGTCCACTAAGCTGAGGAACTAATGGGTTCAAGAGTGATGGACGATTGAAGTTTCCGCCACACGCGCCCCAAATTATGGTTCCAAAGCCGGATTTGGGTGTTAATAAATCAGCTTAAAAGTTCAAACTGTGCAAATTACATTTTTAGGGATTCTTGAGGGTCGTTGAGTTCAAAAATTTCAGATACTTACAAAAATTCACTTTTTTCCCGTAGCGCTACTTGAGAGGCCCGCCGAGTGCCGACCAACCGGCCGCTCAGTGGGCCTCTGAAGTTGCGCTACGGAAAAAAGTGATTTTTTGGAAGTATCTAATTTCTGAACCGGACCTCGATACCTTTCTTCGTTCGAGAGATATTGAGCTTCACAGGTTTTGACTTCCACTCCCCCTAGCGCCCCCCAAACTTTGTTGGGGTTCTGAAAATTTCGGAAAAGAAGCGCTCAAGTATGAGTAATCAATAGACAAAGTTTGATGAAATTTCGGGGGGGGGGGCGAAATAAGCCGTTTTTGCATCAAGCGATTTCTGTACTTCTGCGCACTTATGCTACTGAATGAAAACACATACTGTTCGATAGATATCGACCGCTTTTAGATTTTAAACGAACTAGGACTAGCAAAGCCAACTCACGAAAATCGCCACTATCCTTGAGCTCCACATGTAACCTTTCAATGTATTAAAGTATCGACAATTTGTTTCAGAACGATTTTGAGCTGCGAAATGGGAATAGAATTGCAACCGTTTTATTTTATGTAAGTACCTTATTGTATTCTTTTTTCCTTTTTATTTCAAACTGTGCTTGGTCGCAACAACGGTCGTAACGCACACGGAGAAAAAAACCACGTGCGTGGGACCCGAAGTTTAGGTCATATGAATCTCTGAAGTTTTCAGATTGAGCATCTGAACACTTAAGGTCTAGCTGCCGAGATTCAGGTCAGACATCTGAAACTTCAGTTCTTACATCTGAAGTACTTCGGTTTTCACATCCGAAAAACTTTGGTTCTCACATCTGAAGTAGTTCGGATGTAAGAACTGAAGTACTTCAGATGTAAGAACTGAAGTTTCAGATGTCTGATCTGAATTACGGCATCTAGACCTTGAGTGTTCAGATGCTCAATCCGAAAACTTCAGAGCTCCATATGACCTAAACTTTGGGTCCCACGCACGAAGTTTTTTTTCTCCGTGCACGATCGTGCTGATTTAAATAGTTTTTGCTGCATTTTATTGTTGTGAGAATTAAATAAAATACAGTATTTCGACGGCATGATATTGCTCAAAATCAGTCCAACTACAGAGGCAAATGCTCACAAATTGTCTAATCTTTTATTTTTTAAACAGACAATTATGTAAACTTCTGATTTAAACTTTTGTCATTTTTCGTGTACCAAGAGTTGATAGAAAATTTTAAGATGTTGTTTCGTTATGATATCTGTCATGGAAAATTAAACTCTACACAAGATAAGAAACGCCAAGCCACTCTGCTTTTTGACCATAGCAAATAGACAGGACCGCCATCTCAGATTAATCTGAAGATAAAAGGATAAAGTTTAGTGGCGTGGCGTGCTTAGCGATCTTTCGATATTTCTCCATTTGAAGCTGTGGTAAATAATCGATTATTAAGGTGTTTGCTACAAACACCCTGTTCATTTATCCATCTCCATAGGTTTAAATGGCATAAAAATCGATATATCGTAATTCACGTCACGTTTCAATAGAGTTGTCATGCGTGAGCAAAATTAAATGGAAAAAAGGAGAAGCAGAACTTAAAACATGCATGGCCAAAAATCTACTCAAATAGACAGCAAATCACCAAAAATGAGAATATTTCTGCAACAGATGCTTCCTGCTAAAGTGGTGGATTTTTATTAGATGATATGCTCTTCATTAGGGGTCGTCCCTAGATAACGTAACGCAATTTTTTGGAATTTTTGACCCCCCCCCCTCCACACTTTCGTTACGTAATCCTTTAGCATGGAAAAATAACTGGACTAAATTTTGCAATTCGGAACTATAAATTCTAGCCCGGTTTAAAAACAACGTATGTGCCATTAGTTTCCCTATGCTAATATGTGTTTTTCCAGAAAAGCCAGAATTTATAGTTGCAAATTGCAAAATACAGTCCAACTGACGCAACGCTCATCTCGACTCCCTTCCCCCTAGAGCGTTACCTAATGTACAGGGACGGCCCCTTATGCAATGACAATTTGAATTAACAATCTTTATAGTGTTATTATCATTGAAAAAATACCGTTTTCATTTTCTTCTCTGCAGTTGAACGATGTCAAAGTTGGAGGCGAAACCGCTTTTTACCATCTTAACGTTGCTGCTGAGCCAGAAAAAGGCAGTGCTTTGGTATGGTTCAACTTGAAACGGAGCGGGCTAACCAACATGCTCTCAGGACATGGAGCTTGCCCCGTTTTGTACGGCCATAAGTGGAGTAAGCATTTTACTGCCTTCTTGTTGCTTTTAAAAATTTCAACACAACGTACTAATTTTATTATGAACTGTGGGCCAATGATTGAAACTGGTAGACGACAAAGCGATAGAAAAAGAAGATTAAAGGGGAATGGAGTGATTCTAACGGTGGAAGTTGGTGGTTGCAAAGAGACGATGGAGGTAAGCAATGAACTCGCTATAGACAATCCACGAGAGACCCTATTGCTGGTGTCATTATTTTCCCCCGTAGTCTATAAGAACCAAAGGTTTCAACCAATAGAATCGTTTAATTTCCGCTTCGTCTCTTTTGTCTATAGCATTTGTGTATCAAGTTTAATCATCAGCTCGCTGACTTTGAAAGAGAGTAGCTGTCAAGAATTAGTGTGAAATATATAAAATGCCCGAATATTATATCCAAAATTTATGATAATGATCATTTTTTTAAGAATGAAAAAAGAAGCTATCATTGGTGCTTCACAATGCGCGCACTATTCCTTTTTCATCCATGAACTTTGTTTTAAGAAAAATGGAAAATGCTGATTTGCGAACTTCATCTTACTCAGAAAATTCTCGGTTCACTACCTTGTATTTTCTTTTTCTATAAAGAACTAAAAGCAGTTCGAAAACATTGAGTAATTTTGAGCGCAATGAATCCTTCTCAGCATGTTTTGGGAATAATTCTGTACCTAAAATTCTCATTGTCTCGCTCCTTCTAATAACCTGTCAATTTATTTTGATTTATAGTTGCCACTCGATGGTTCCATCATCGCGGACAAATGCTCAAAAGACCCTGCACACTGAATAAATACGAATAAATTGATCGACTGCCACTACGACGTTGTCTTTTTTATGGAGTTTTATTAAAGAAGGAGTAATTACTAAAATTACAATTGATTTCTTCTGAAATATTTAGTTGGTTCCTCAACTCTAAAAACTCGTGTAAAATGTTTGAATGACAGGCATTTTATTTTTTTAAGTATGTCAAAAAAAGTTATACTCAATGGGCTGAATGATAATCAATTATTTTTTTTAGAAGCACTGAAAGAGGTTGTGCTGTATAGTATGTATGAATGTGAATGATATGACATTAGCATTTATGTGCTAAGTGATTTCTAAACCAAGTACCCTCTATCATAAGACCCCTTTTTTTAAAAGCCTTTACAGAAAACTCAGCACTCCCTTTTTTGTCACTGCTTGTTCCTCATTTAGTAAATGTTTAGTTGTTTTAAAAAGAATAACGCTTTTGAACTGCGTAAATTCCCTCGATTAAGGTTAAAGATACGTTCATGACACCGCGCGACTTTTAATTTCTTTAATTGATCTTGCTTATATTTTATGGAGCTTTATCTTAATCCTGTGATACTTTTCATCTAATAGTTAATTTTTGAATACACTATTTGACTCTCATTTCTCATGTTTTTCATTTGATTTCACCGTAATTGATTAATACCAAGATAAAGCGATTTTTAAGATAACCAAGGTATTTTAATTTCATATGATATTTTCATTATTTGGAAAATTAACAATAAGAACTAACTAAGGCTAAAATCAAACTAAAAAACTCAAATTCGCTTACGTCTAATTGCCAGACTAGTTTCGGGAGCTTCAATCGTCTCCCATCTTCAGTGGTTGTCGACAACCACTGAAGATGGGAGACGATTGAAGCTCCCGAAACTAGTCTGGCAATTAGACGTAAGCGAATTTGAGTTTTTTAGTTTGATTTTAGCCTTAGTTGATTTAATCGGTTCGCTGTTTTTTAGTTTCGTTCATTGTTTTAATCGTTTAATAAGAACTAAATTTAATCAGTAAGTTTGAAACTTGCAATTGAGATGCGATTTAATTTTTATTCATTTCTGTTGTTCAAATTTTTGACATATCGTATGTTTTTTGAAGGGCACTGGGTACTAGGTAAGATGATTTCATGAAATATATGCGAAGGGAGGTATCGAGAAGGGCCGTTTTCCGGGACTATCATGAATTTTCACACCACAACGATTTTTTGCTCATTTGAAGTCTAAATTTTACAGAATGCATCATGATTTGGTGATTAATTTGTCTCTTTTTGGGTCGAATACTGACCTAAACATAGGTTTGAAAGCCGATTTTTGCATAAAAATGTGAGTTTTGCGGGTTTGCGATCGAATATCAAAAAATCCGCATTTATGGCCAAAATTGGCTTCCAGACCTTTGTGTAGGTAAAAATTAGACCTGAAGAAGCTTGAAAATGACCATATAATGATGAGACTTGTTAAGTACAGACCTTCTATGGTTGAAAAATTATAGAGTTGAGGAAAATTAGCTGAGGTGGGCCCAAAAACGGTCCTTATTGATACCCTACCTATGCTTATTTGACTTAAACGCTTCTGTAATGAGAGACGACAATTTTGTCCGTTTTGGACATTGATAGTAGTTTCCTACTTTCCACGCTTATGTTTTCATATTAGGGTTACAAAATTGAGAAAATTTACGAGAATCAAAATGGAGGAAGAAAATAGTTCAGATTCCCTACAGTTAGGTATACGATCTAGTACCTCATGGACCTACCAAACCACGTATCTCGTTTGCGGTGTTTAAAAATCTACGCTCGCATTTTATTTTTTTGAAGTCGACCAAATCAATATCATTCCTTGAAATTTTCACAGAATTTTTTCCGCACAAAGAGGAAAAATCACAGAAATTTTCAAGACTAGACGTTAGGTAGTTTTTCATTTAAAAAATAAAGTATGACAGGAAGTCTGCGACGTCGCAAACCAAGATACGTGGTTTGGTAGTTTCACCGTCGATATGCTGATTGCTGATTCTACCATGAACCAGAAATTGTGGTTCTTGATTGCAAGATTCTATGCGTATCAATGGACGAGACAAATATTTCGCGTAGAAACTCGGGGAAAAAGGTGAAGAGGCAACACGGCCCTAATTTGGGCCGAATAACCCAAAATGTACTAGGTTACACGTCCTCTCCGCGCGACAAAGCATTTGTGTTTGCACATGGCAGGTGTTTCCACTTTTTGACAGCTGGCGTGCCGCCTCAATTTTGCTCCCGTTTGTTCTGCCATTGTTTGCGCAGAAACGAGTGCATGATTTCCACCGAATAATAAGTAAAAGCGCGAACGGAACCGGAAATTGACGGAAAATGATTAAATCAAATCGTGATATTCGTGATCAATCGGCCCAAATAAGTGACTCGTCTCAAAGTTGTCGAAAATGACACAATACTGGACACTAAAAAAAGTTATGCGTGAATATAGTTAATTCGGGCTGTACACCATTATACATTCACTAAATTAATCTTTACAGTTCTGAGATTTTTTTGACTTTAAAAATACCAGTGGAATATTCCTTACATGTGTAATCCTGCTTATAGTATCCGAAATATCCCGTGAATGGTTTTTACCCCTCTCATCATTCAGCCAAATTTGCAATGATTATAATATCCGTTGGAATGCAATCAGTGATTTTATAACCCCTACTGCATAGTTACATCACAAGATTGAATTTTTTTTATTTCTGGGTGACTATTATTTAAAATTGCGTGTGTTGGATAGTTTGTTCTATTTGTTTACGTGTTTTCATGAGCCATGAACGGTCTAAGGTAAGTCATTGTCGTGTGTTTATTTACATGAGAAAAATGGTATCTTTTGATTTCAGAGATTAGCAAAAGCATCCTTATCATATGCGGAATTCAAAAATAAAAATAAATAAATAAATGGCTAAGAAAAAAACTTAGAAAGAATCCATGCTAAATTTTGGTGAATTGATGTTTTCAGGATCTCATTTTTGCTCTTGACGAGTCACTTTATGCTGGTCATGGCGTCGTCTGATATGAAATTTGAATCTGAAGGATATTTCCGCGGGCTCATGTCGAAAGATGAATTTTTATTGGAGTTCCTGGATCTCATTATCGAAAAGGAGGAAAGGAAAGTCCAAGATCTGAAGAAGTAAGTGCTCATACTTGGAAATATTTGAGGGGCGTGGAGGACTAGGCGCATAAGTACAGTTCTTGCTATTTCGAGAAATACGTGTTTAAAGTTTCGAAATCACGTGGATCCTTGTGGAGAACAAAGTTCAAACCGAAACTTTGATGCTTAAAAATTCGAATTTGAGAGCAAATTTTTCACAACTTGTGCACTATGACTAGTTTTACTTGAAATCATTAATATCTCAATTTTTTAAAAACTGCTTTTATGCGCGAACGTGCGGGCGTAGCCTGATGAGATGAAACAACCGCCGCCGCCGGCCGAGCTGCGCTGCCGGCGCTGTAATAACAGAGAGCTAAAGCTACGCCCGCCTGAGAAATTACCTGTTGAACAGACTTATATGTACCGACGTGACAAGCATATGCAACTGATTTCTAACATTATGAATACTTACATCATTGTTATCTTCGCAGCATATTATCAGCATTGGAAGAGGACATTGAACACACGACAGATCTTAATTCGTACACAGAGGACATCAATAAGTCTTTAAAGTTGATGAAGCGAATGGCTTATGATTGGCGCGTAATTACTAATTACGTAGCTGAGAATGTCACAGAAGGTAAGAGTATATGAATTCGTTATACAAAAAAGAAAAAAGGACGAAACAACGTAAGCATCATTCTATGCTGAGTGCCAAGATTAGCGGTGTTGGCTAGATGAGTCAATCTCTGGCACGCAATGTATCCTCGCCAAACGGGGAGAAATTGTCATGCAACCCAATCAACCGACGCTTTGCCTTTGAATTGGACGTACTTCTATCAAACGGAACTATGTGCATTACGACGTGAGCCCTGTCATACATGTATTCTTATGGGGCTCAGGGCTCATGTCTTAATGCACATAGTTCCGTTTGATAAAAATACGTCCACTTATGCTTGTAGAATGTAGAACCAAAAATCACTCGATCATTTTTTAATCGAGAAATCGTGAATCTTTTGATCGCATTAAGAGGGAGGAGGAGAAGAAGAAGAAGAAGAAGAAGAAGAAGAAGAAGAGGGAACCTTGATTAATGGGGACACACGGAGGAAAAAATGTCGGTCCATGGGAAAGCAAATTCTTAATATACCGATAACCGAAGTGTATGGTTAACCGAATTTTGGCCTAAAATTGACCAACATTTTTGCTAGCCATACTGAGTCTCGCGACTGTACGTGAGTCTCGCCTGTCAGTCATAAATGATGTTTTCTCTTTCAGATGTGATGCGCAGTATGTCAAATCGTTTAGCTAGTGAATATGGACATCTTCCCGATCCTGATATACGTCTAGCCATCGAGAATCTGAACAGATTGAGGTCGTTTTCCGATGTCACGCATTCTGAATTCGTGAATGGAAATTTGGGCCGCGTGAAATTAAACTCAACCCTTGATGGTAAATAAATTTCAATATAGATATAAGTTCATCACTCTCCTTCCGGGGTCGGACTGGCTCGCATCTGAGGGCGTAGACCCTTGGCTGGTTGAAGGGGCGTAATGTGATATTTCCTGGTGGGGCAACCCCTACGTGGAGAGGAGGTTCAGAAAAGTTCGGCAAAGCAGCACAAGTTTACGCTATTTTCAGGCTCGAAGTTTATTAATCGTACGGAGTGAAAATTGCAAAATTTAACGTATTGAGGTAACCTGCAGACTTCTGAAATTAAAGAAAACATAACAAATTAAAGCCACTAGACGCATCCAAGCACCATTATTTCCAAAAGAACCGAGCCAGTGCTACGGTTTACACGAGCTTAAGACGTGGGTCTGCAAATCCATCCTAAAAAATAATCAGACAAGAACCTGAAAAAAAGAAGAGAGAACGAGTATCAACACGCGCGCCGCGCCGTCGTTAACGCGCACCCTTTCCCTCGCCTTATTTCCATGTTGTGTTCGTTTCCGTTTGTCTTATTCGTAATGGTGCTTTAAACTAGTAGCATAGAGCAGAGCGTTGCGAGTTCACGACTCACGCCACCACGTCTTACATTTTTCATATGCAATGTGAACATCTATCTTGTGCGAATAGTTGTATCGCGTTTACACTGTAAATGTCTCTTATTTTTGAATTTCGGGATATATTAAGGTTCAGTTTGCCTGAGATATGCTATGGTATGCCCAAATCAATAGTCCTTTTGAAAAGGAAGACATATGTTCAAAGGTCTCTCAAGAGGTTTTTAAAGGGTGCGCATGTCTAAAAATCGAATCGACTATCGCTTCTGAGGGAGTTACATATAGCGAATGAATGAAGGGAATGATAATAATAATAGTTAATAAATAATAACAACACTTTTCGATCAAAAGGGTCTTACAACTCCTTTTGAAAAGTTGAAAGTTTTCTTCTTTTCGCACATTTTTCGGTAGCTTCGAATAAAATTGATATCCGAAACTTAGGAGCTGTGTTTGTCCCACTTTAAGTTTGATGTCTCACTCCTTAATGCATCCTTATTTCTGGTATTTTACTGATGAACATCTCTATTGGTCTGTAATAGATGTTTACTCTGGAAGAACGCAAGTAAGGAGTGGTACACAAACAAGGACATTAGTAATAAAATTTTATTGTTAGTGGAAATTTCTTTGCAGCTCTCTCCTCTTTTAATTTTAAAGATCGTCCTTAAGGCTTGTTTTTATAATTTGAAAATCTGTTAAAAAAAAACCTTTATTACATATAGCGATACAATAATTTAAATGAAAATTAACTGGAGAATAATAGAGAGTTTGTAACACACCAATGTTACAAAACTTTTAGAAATAACTTAAAATAAAAATAGCTCTGGAAAGTTTGTTTCTTAAATTGGATATATGACCAGACATGCGGTGAGATCTTTGTCCAGTACAAATCCTAGATGCTTAAATTGTGTTATTTCATGGAGGAAGACATCATTTTTTACCACTGTAGGGTTGATTTGTGAGCTGTTGTTTACAATAGTCAAGTTTGTTTTTTGAATGTTTACAATTCAAATTCACACATTACACACATTAAAATCACACCATTGTAAGAAGAAGCCAACTAGAATGTAAGCGTCGAATTAATTCTATTCAAAAATAAACTGATAATTCGTAGATTTGAATTTAAAGTTGCTACTTGAAGGTATGGACACTACGCTAAGAAGAAAATAAAGTATTCTAACATGACATGACATGACAAGAGGCATACGCGGTAATTCAAAACGCCTTCCGAGAGAGGAGTAGGCAACATGTGTTACCAATAGCTTGTTGATCACGATTGCAGTGGGAGCTCCCACTCCTAAGGACAGGTGGTGCCCCAAAAAATGTATTTACAAAATATTAATACATTTCTTTCTCTCTCCCCCCTCTTTCTCACCCTATTTTCAATATCTTGCTTTCATATTTAATTTTACACAATTTTGATATACTCATCTTACAGTCTACGATAATTACAACGAAAGAAAAAACATCAGTGAGGAATGGTTTTTAGTTCACATCAACCGATTTATTAGCCATGAGAAGATTATAAAAATTGCGACAAAGCAAATTCCATTTTGTATTTCCTATTTTGAAATGGAAATTTGTTCAGTAAGTGGGGGATGAATGGATAATACTTCAGTAATACTTATATTCGTCAAGTAAATATAGCTCGTCTCTTTCAACGAAATTTGTAGGAAAGACCAAAAATTGAGTGATTCAAAATATTAATTTTCCTTTTTACCTCATTGTTCTCATGATTTTTTAATCAAAAACAATTATGGCTTGTTTTGTAGCTAATGACTGCTACTTAATTGGCAAGCATACACTTGATTATGGTGACATTGTGGAGGCAACAAAATGGTTAGCTGAGGCATATAGACTCGTCGGCAACACCGAGGACATATTCAAAACAAACGAAAAAACCCTGAAACTCCTTGCAAAAATATACTTCAAAACCGGTTCGTATTCTTCATGTATGTCCACTGTAAATTACGATGTTTTATTTTAATTTTATCATGCAAATGGGCTGACTTTCTCATAGCAAAAGAGCAAAAATCCGGGTACATTTATACGATGTAGTCAAAATTTTCATGATACTCGGAATGACAATAATACTGCGGAGACACTTTTAAAGGTACTTTAAAAGTTTTTAAGACGTATTTATTGTGAGGTAGTGAATTATTGATTGGACGTATTTCTGTCAAACGGAACTAAGCGTCATAGGGGGAGGAAGGTAGATGTGGGCTTGGATTGGCGGCGGAACCGGGCGCCGGGATCATTCCGTCCTATGCTCTCAATGCTTTTCCATGGCGCTTAGTTCCGTCTGACAGAAATGCGTCCAATTTGCTTATGTATATGTTCCCCATCTGCGCATGAATGATTTTGTCTGAATATGAAGGTTGTCTTTCATATTAGCTTTGAGCATCCCCTCTATTACGGCCTCAATTTTGGGAGTTTTTTTTAGCTCGAGAGTTTGTTTGAGACAAAACCAGTAGCACTATTGTGTTTCTCGCAAGATTTTACTTGAAGAAAAGTACTTAACTCGCAAATTTCTAGCGCATACAAAAGTTCCATGTAGCAATGCCTAGCGGGCTGATTATTGATATCGATGGACACAGCGATAGAAAAAGGAGACAAAGGGAAAGTAAAGCGATCAGTGGAGTGCCATGCTTTGCGATTTATCGATTGATCTGCCATTTAAACCTATGAAAAAGGATCGACATACACGGTGTTCGCAGCGAACACCTTAATAATCGATTCTTTACCATAGCTTTAATGGGAAAAAATCTATAATAGATCACTCCCGGCACACCACTGGATCGGGTGGTTGTTGCAGATCGAGGGTTTTCGTTTATTAGTCCATTACTTACCTCCCTTGGATTACGTTTTGCAATTAGAAACCACCATCTCTGGCTTTTCCATGAAAGGACCTTCCTGCATATAGAAGCCGATGGCACATATGTTCCTCCTAAAATGAGAAATAAATAGTGGTTCCTTTTCGAAAAATATGGTCCACTTCATCGTTTACTGGGCGAGGATACGTAACTCCATTCCAAGGGTGCAAAATTGATTCAAACAATTCAGTTTTTTACAGGCATGTCCTTGTGTGTTGTCCAAATGTTTCCTGATTTTTTCTTGAGCTCAGAAGAAAAATCATTGAAATTTTCAGTAAAACATGCACAAAATTCTCCCGGTAAAAATACATTTTGCCAGGGTAAATTTGACAACATTGAAATAAAGACAGGACAAAATTTCGTCTAGGAAACGACGATTTGTCCATTGCAACGAACCGCTTCTGCCAATAGGATCCCTCCATTCTCTCTTTGCCTCGCTTGTCTATCACTTTGCCTATCAATTTCAATAATCAGCCCGCAGTCCGTCCAATGAAAAAAAGTCACGGGCTGCATAGACATACCGTCCGTGCCGGGCTCAAGGGCCGAAAGTACCTGGTGTTGGTGTCGTAGCCTTGACTGCTCTGGGTGCTACGCCCGGAACTTTCGGGCTTTGAACCCTCAACGCAGACGGTACGTCTATAGCCCATAGCTACGGCTTTCACGTCGGCAGTTTTTGTTTTTTCAGTGTTTGAATGGAGATGGTGCAAATGTGAGGAATTTGCGATTTGACTATTGATTCTCATGTCAAAGTTCATGAAGAACACGATGGTGCCACTGGTTTTCTCTGAAATCAACTCCCAAGCCCGAAAAAGCTCTCAAGTTGAGGCGAAAATGGAGGAGATATCCCACGCTCTCCTGAGAGTCCCCCTATACATCAAGAGAAACTCACCATGCAAAGATAGGGAGCAAATACATTGACAGGGCTGCTACTTTATTTGGGGACTCTAAAACTGAAAACACGGCAACCCTGCTAATGTATTTGCTCCATATCTTTGCATGGAGAGTTTGTGTTGATGCAGACGTGGACTCTCATGGATAGCGTGGGATATCCCCTCCATTACGCCCTCCACTTTGAGAGCTTTTTTTGAGCTTGGGAGTTGATTTCAGAGAAAACTAGAGTCCCTTTATACTGAGAGTCAAGACAATGTGAATCCATTTCTGATTGGTTCCCGTATTTTAGGCCTTCATAGTGTCACAAACGGGAATAAAGATTACATTTTCACCGACTGCAAAGATTATATTTTAGAATGGACCAGGGAATTACGGGTTCGGCAAGGAACAAACGGAATGAGAGAAGGAACGGAGAAAGGAATTCAAGAAGGGGCCAAAGGGGCCAAGAAGGGATCAAAGATTACGAAAAACGTCCAATTTCTATTATCTTCATTCCCGTTTGTGACTCCATGAGGGAGTGTTGTCTTGACTCTCAGTATAAAGGGACTCTAGAGAAAACCAGTGGGACCTTGGTGTTTCTCGTGAACTTTTACATACGTATCAATAGTCGAATCGCAAATTCCTCACATATCGACGGTGTACGTCGGCAATCACAAAACTCGTCTGCGGTGTCTAAAAATCTCTGCCTCTATGGTATTTTTTTAAAAGATAACAAACTGACATCATTCCTTGAAGTTTTTGCAGAATTTCCTTCGCACAGACAAGAAAAATTGCGGCAGTTTTAAAGAATTGCCGTCGAGTAGTTTTCCCGTTTAAAAAATAAAGTATGACAGGAAGTCTGCGACGTCGCAAACCGAGTTATATGATTGCCGACTTATACCGTTGATATGCAACATCTCCATTGTATTAATCCATTATCTTGCTATTTCCAGGGCGGTTCGAGGAGTTGAAGAAAGAAATCAACAGCGTGATAGGCTACGGGAAAATGCGCGATGATAAACCGATGAAGTTCCTGTTCGAGATGGAGGACCTCAAGACGGCGGCGGAGGCGGCGGCGAAGAACCAGACGAAATCGGAGAGCACCCCCAAGGAGAAGGCGGAGGACCTCAGGCCCTACGCCGACGCCTACCCGAAGCTCCCGCCCATCTTGAAGGTCCTGTCGCCCTCCGTCAAGACCGAGGAGGAGATGAAGGCCCAACCAACCGAGGCCGACCAAGTTCCGCCGGAGATCATGGAGCAGCTCCTCGGCAAATCCGAAGAGGAGCTCATGGAAATGGCCAACAAGCCCATGACCTTTGATGAACTCTTGGGCTCCGTCAAAGGAACCGCCTAGTTATCCATCATCGAGGCCGCCATTGGACGTATTTCTATCAAACAGCAGTGGCGTGGCGTGAATAATCCATTATCCATATCTTGCCATTTGAAGCTATGCTAAAGAATCGATTATTTAGGTGTTCGCTGCCAACACCCTCATAATCGATCTTTTTTAATAGGTTTGAGTGGCGTATCAATCGATACATCGCGAAGCACGCCACGCCACTGTCAAACAGAACTATGTGCAGGTGAGAAATACGAGGTGTGCTCTAGAAAGCTGGATAAGAAGCAATGTAAAAGTGGGCGTGATTCCTTTTGAAGAATTGGAAAAGCGGGATTTTAAATGGACCGCGTTTAACACAAAGGGACCAAGCCATATCGGCTATTGCCAAATTTAAATGGGTACTTCATTTTTTTACGAGAGAATGCTTGTGTGCATTCCTTTGAAAATGTTAAGGAAATTGCTTCGTAATATGGAGAGAATCCACTGAAATTTGCACGAGAATCCGCATAATCGTTTTCTTGTAAACCATTAAATTGACCAGTAAAATTCGGCAGTAGCTGATGTGGCTTGGTTCATTTCTGTTTAACGCAGTCCAAATTGAGCAAAGAGAACCATAAGCGAACTGAATGCGGGATCCATGAGCCGCGGGCATGGCACCAGAGCGTTGTGCAAAGGGCTCATGAGTTAAAGACGATGCGGAGGCGGGACGACGGCGGTTCCATCTCCGTTGACGTCACTGGCGCTTTATTTTCCCATTCACTCTTATGGCCAGAGAATTAACGAGCACACCCCATATTTCTCACCTGCTCATAATTCTGTTTGATAGAAATACGTCCAATTAAGGCATATTTGGTTTAAAAAGCACGTATGAGACTTCAAATGCTGCTAAGATTGTGCGACGTAGTTCTCTAGTTGTAACTAACTTATCCGACAGTTCTGCTTTAAATGTTTCCGAGTTTTTCATCTTCACTATTGCAAGGAAGTAAGTGGGCTGTGAATGAATTTCATCTGCCGCAAACGCTATGAAACATGGCACAATCTTAGCAGCATTAAAAGTCTCGTACGCCCTTTTACCCAAAAAGTCCTCAATTATTGACGACCTCTTTGATAAAAAGGCGTATAATCCAATTCTGCTAAGAATCATTGCCCCTCCGACGTAAGGGCTTATCTCACTTTCCACGTAAACCTCGTTTTACATAGGCATCCGTGCTTTTTGAGGCTCATGAAAAATTCAAGATACGCCCCTATGCCAGAGGAGCGACGGATTGTGCCACTTGGTTCTTCAATTACAAGTAACTTAACCAAAGTCAGAGGCGGATCCAGAAATTTGGCAACACCGGATACCCTCCATTTAAACCTATGCTAAATAATCGATTTCTGTTGAAACACCTGGCCCCTCCAAGGATCGATACATTTCTATGGGTTTAAATAGAGAAAGGACGATGTTGCCAATTTTCTAGATCCGCCAAGCTCTTTCATGAATTTTTCACAATAAATCTGCTCCGAATTTTGCATCACCCTCATTGTTGTGTGAAATTAAGTCGAATTGCAATGAATTTAATTTGCTCCAAGTTCTACGAGAAATTACATAGTCTTAGCAACATTGAGAACCTTATACGCCTTTTTTCATAAAGAAGTCATTAACTGTGGTCGTTTTTCAAACAACGCCTCTCTCAAGAAACAGCCACACCAACGGCAAAATATGCTAGCAATTTATGCCAGAAATACAGAATTTGAAAATCTTCGAATGTGTTTGATTTCCTTCTTAGATAACTAATTAAAATAAATCCCCGAAATTTCGTGGGTCTTCCTCTCTTTTTTGTAATTTTTGTAGAACATGAGAAAAAAACTCAAAGAAAATGTGAAAAAAAGCTGTCCCATTAAATAAATTCAACATGAGCGGCGGCTTTCAATGTAGCAATCTGAGGTGCGCATTTTTCGACTTCAGCCATCCATTTTCAATAGGCTTCACAATGTAACTAGTGGTTGCAAAAATCTATTTTAGAGTTATTTTTATTCGTGTTATCAGAGCTACGAAGCAGTCACTTGTGCTCCTTCTCTCGCTGAGAGAGTTGAGAAAACGCGGCTTGTGGATGTCACAAACGGGGATAAAGATTACACGAATCGGACGTTTGCTGTAATCTTTGATCAACCCATTTCCGAATTCCTGTCTTCGTTCCCAATCTCATTTCATTTGTTCCTTGCCCTGCCTCCTATTTCCCGGTCCATTCCAGTTTACAATCTTTGCAATTGGTGAAACTGTAATTTTTATTCCCGTTTGTGACACTGTGAAGGCCTAAAATGTGGGAGGTAATCAGACGTGGATTCGCATTGTCCTTACTCTCAGTAAAGGGTCCTGGTAAAAATTGGCGATAGGAGCTGCGTCTCAAAATACCATAGGAATTCTTATGGCCAGCTAAAGAGGGCAATAGAAAATCATATAGCTTGCTGTAGAAAGCGGAGCAAATCATATAGCCGGGCTACACGAAGCGATAAAAAAGTATGCAGCCGGGCTATAGTTCCTATCGCCGGGCTTTACACTTAATCGCCTGGCTGTTGCTTTTTCGCCATCGATTAAAATAGGCTATAAGAAATTGTGTAGAAATTCGTGTGCTTTGGAAATCATTAAGATTGATACGGAACCACTTTAATATTTACAAAACACACATTATATTTTCCTCTAATACATATTTTTTTTTTCATCAATTAAAATGAGAACAATCCATACAGGATGTGCAAACATTTCAAAATCATGAGTTGAAAAACGCTGACTCCGCGAGATTATATTGGAGCCTAACACAGAGCGGAGTGGCGTGTTGCCAGCGATAAGCGCGCACCAGCGCCTACAAACCTAACAGGGATACTTCACGCATGGCGCAATGCGTGAAGTATCCTTGTGTTAACAACTATAATGATTTTTAGAAAAAATAAAACTATTATAATTGAGTGAAAAATAATATCACTAAGAAGGAGAGACATAAATATGTTTTTCTTGTTAGACGAGAAATCTTCAGTATTTACACTTATAGTAATAATCGTAACAGCTAGAATTATAATTTATAGCCAGTTCTACATCCAAAAAAAAAAAAAGGTAATATTCTTAAAAATTTTAATTATGTTTATAGCTTCTATAGTGATACTAATCTTAAGTCCGCAAGTGATACTTCACACATGGCGCAATGCGTGAAGTATCCCTGTTAGGTTTGTAGGCGCTAGGCGCTTCTCGCGCTGGCTGCCCGCCCGCCGCGCCGTAGCGTGCCGCGGCGCTTGAAGCAACTATTTCACACCAGAGGTATTGCACAGTATCATACGAAATTGAAGGCGCTCCAACATATTAGGAATGGCAGGCATCCTTCAAAAGTACGGAGCTTTCCGCGCAAAATAAATCAAGATACTACGGCCCAAAAATAGAACGGTAGTTCAAAAACTCACTAAGTCCTAGCATCCGTAATTAGTAACATTTAGCTTACACTTTATCGCCTGGCTGTTGCTTAGTCGCCATCGGCTATAAAAGGCTATAAGAAATTGTGCAGCCGGCTATAGAAGCTATTGAGTATCTTACAGCCGGCTTTACGTCTATGGTATTTTGGAACACAGATTCTACCAAAGAATTTTTACCACATTTTTACCAGGGAAATTATATATTTTTTTAATTTAAAGCTACTGGTAAGATCACATAGTTTACTGCATTGTACAGTTATTCTTTTACTATAATTAATCTTAAAATGTTAAATATGATTAAACTCCTTCTCTTTACATGCCTATTTATTAATAGTTAAGTGCCGCATTACAAATGGATTTCGACGGCATAAGTCCGCATTCACGTATCTCGTTTGCGGTGTTTGAAAATCTCCACCTCTATATTATTTGTTTAAAGGAGAACAAATTGACATCCCTCCTTGATTTTTTTGCAGAATTTTCTTCACACAGAGAAAGAAAATCACGGTAGTTTTCAAAAATTGCCGTTGAGTACTTTCCCGTTTAAAAAAAATTATGACCGGAAATCAGCAACGTCGCAAACCGAGATACCGGGTTGTGGACTTACACCGTCCAATTGTTTCTGTGTGAGGTGCCCTACTTCGATGTACGTCAAGTATTTTACACGAATCAAAAAGTACGAAATCCAGGTGGCAAAAATCTCGTAACTGACGGGATGTAATGCTGTGTAATGTGACAAGCAGGTTACAGAGCGGTAATAGGGATATTTTTTATCCCGCAGAAATTCATGCGTAGAAATTGCATAGCTTTGGGTAGCATTTCGTCAGTAATAAGATGGAGCAAGCAAAATATTCCAAAACCGCTGAATTATTTAGCTCCTCTTTACAAGATTATTAAGAATAAACTCCTTCGTTCATTTAAACTATAGTTCGCCTTCAAAAAGGATGTTAAGCAAGATGAGCTGCTTCGGGGTCGGCCGCAAGCTCAAAGTGGTTAAGTAGGCCAGAGAGGAATTACTGAACTGAACTGGAAAATAATTGGGTGTGTACTTACTTAAATATATTCTATTCATCGAGTTAAAAGTATTTATTTACAAAAAAAATTATTTCATTTTATTTCTGATATTACACAATGAAACAAGGGTACCTTTTGCTGGATTTAAATTTCAGTTAGTAAAGCAAAAGAGATGACGCGTGTGTTTGTAAAAAGCAAGGTAACATATTCAATGAAACATATATCACATACCCATATATAATGGTACTATGTGCAAGACTTGGATTTAGAACAGTGTCAGGATTTGAAAATATTTCTATGACGTACTTACATAGCATTTACTTCATCATTGAATAAGAGTTTCATGAGCTGAATATAGTTAATTGAAATAATTCGAACAACGTCAGAGATTTTAATGATTTCAGACGACAATGTAATTAAATGCTAAATTCACTCATATTTGTTCATTGTGCACGGCCGATGCAATACTTGCTCTTTATGATGATAGTATAGAGTTGCAGCTGCAAATCAGAGGAAAACTAAAATTATGATTCATCGAATGAACATTCAAAGAGCTTGGGTCCCGGCACTAGTGGAAATATTTTACTTTTAGGAACTTGATTTTTTCCATGGATTCAACGCTTATTTTATCTTATCCTGGAAAAATAAGTGTGGAACAATGCCCTCGGCAAGACACAAAAAAAAATAAAAATAAAAATAAAATGCACAGCAGCCAAAAGGTAATTTTCAGGGTTTAGTGATGAAGTATCGAAAGTAAAAGTTTCCGCCAGTCGCCGAGATAATAGCGGATGATTAATATTTTTGAGCTTCCATAAGGAAAAAGAATCTTGGAATGAAAAATTAAAAATTAAGATACCGGTGCTGTCCTCTTAAACTAGAGTGTCATGAACAATTTGGCGCTAAATAACGCCTTAAAACGTAATTTTAAACTGTGGTCATGACGGTTTGAAAGTTGCAGTCAAAGAGAGGAGTTTTGCGCGGTACAACAATGTGAAGTTCCAATGAGCCATGGACACGGGAATTAAGATTTCTTCTGTAATAACGCAACTAATTTGACCGAAACGCTTGCCACTTCTTTTCTGGACACGAGAGTGCATCATTTTAAGAATATTTCTAAAATATTGTGTGAATGTCATTATGAACAATTGGTTAAATTATCATATATGTGAGATTATATCTAGATATTTGGACGTATTTCTATTTCGTATTCGTATTTCGACGATTCAATTTGATCGTGTAACTGAACCAATAGGTGTAAGAATAATTGCCTGCCATACATGGATGTAATTCAACTGGACGTATTTTTATCAAACAGAACTATGTGCAGGTGAGAAATATGGGTTGTGCTTTAGAAAGCAGGATGCAAAACAATGTGGTCAGTGGGCGTGATTCCTTTTGAAGAATTGGAAAAGCAGGATTTTAAATTGAACAAAGAGAACTATGTGCAAACTGAATGCGGGGTATATGAGCCGCGGGCATGGCACATAGAGTACTAAGAGTCGTAATGTAAGTGGGAGAGCTGGCGCCATGTTCTGCTCGACGAGTTCCGAGCCCGGTGCGCGGGCTCACTTTTTCGATACATATTCGATCCAAAATGGCGGTGTGGAATATGGCCGGGTCCCCGTGTATCGCAAACAATCGATTATTTATCGAAAGAGGGACCCGTCGCCGCACAGGAATCTCGGAATTCGGGACCTGGAAAATGTTTAAAGGTGGCGCCAGCTCTCTCACTTGCATTACGACTCTATGTACTCTATGGCATGGCACGAGAGCGTTGTGGACAGGGCTTATGAGTTGCAGACCACTACGAGGAGCCGCGACGACGGCATTCATTTCCGTTGACGTCACTGGCGCTTTATTATTCTCATTCACTCTTGCGGCCAGAGAACTAACGAGCACACCCCATATTTCTCACCTCCATATAAATCTGTTCGATAGAAATACGGCCATTTTTCAAATGCAACATTTTAAAAATCTTTTAAATATCGATGTGTAAGTAGAGAGATGAGCACCAGTATTTAAAACAGGGGCATCAGTTGAGGTGATAACTTACTCAGTTGATGACCGTGGAAAACAGGGCAAATTCCATGTCCAGAGAACATATCTATCAGGCCATTCCTCCTCAAATTATCCCATACCAAAACGCTACCTTTTTCCGGTTTGACGAGTACATCGAGTCCGTCGAAAACCGTCTCACCTCCAACTTGGACGTTATTCAACTGTCAAGAGAAAACAATACAATCTTTAAAAATACCGAATTTCCTGGTAAAATCAATAGGATTTTTAATGAGATGTAGTTTTCTAATTGGTGAGTTTAAAAGACATCGTGGTAGAAATAACTCTCAAGAAGTTTCAATATACGTTTTGAAAAGGAACTCCTAAACTCATCAAATGTGCGGAAAATCGAAATTGCTCTGGACTGATTTTTACGTACTAATCATGTAAAGTAAGAACAAACACTGCTTGTGAATTAAGCTGAGCCCTTAGAATTTAATTAAAAGATATGAAACATAAATAAATTAGTTGATTAAAATCGAATTATTGTCTAGAGGTTTGTATGTATTAATAATTATTTATAGAGTCCTTCGCTCTTAATAAAATGTGTCATCTTCAATATGTTGTCGATATTACCTAATTTTACCTGTCGATTGAACTTAAAGATAATGTACTAAAAAGTACTTGACTACTCATGCGCCAAGATTCTTACGTGCCCTGAAGCTTATTATAAAAATTCTAAATTTATTAAGCAGTCGTTTCAATTTAGTAATTCAGCATTTTCTACACTTACGTAAAATTGCACTGTTGTGGTTGGATTTCCCAAGCGTGGATCAAAATGCTCCTGAAACCAAATTTTCATGGTATCTTTTAGTTTTGTGAGAGAGGTCAATTTGTAGATTACACAACATACAAATCTTTAAATAGATGACTGTTACTGCACGAATAATGCTATCCGGCTTATCTCAAAAATTGAAGGCAAAACTGCAACGTATCTGTCTCTCTAATTTGCTCAGCCTCATGGGACTATCTGGCACCTAGCAAAAAACTGTTATTGTTAGCAGCTAATTTGAAAGAAAAGAAAGAAAAAAAAAAAAGTTTTTCAATTGCCTGTGCATTTTGAATTTTACTCAGAGTATACTCGGTTTCAAACTGAATTTGCACGTTACATTTAAATGTCTGAAATGCGTAGGTTCCAGGACTTTATGTCCACTAAATTCATAAGTCCACCGCCTTTATGTCCATTTTGAATGTCCAAAAAATTTATGTCCGCCACATTTATGGCCACAGTATTATATGTCCACAGTATTGTATATGAAATATTTCCTACACAATGAAGAAAATATGATGTAATGGATTAGGTTTGTGGGTCTCAAAAAATTTTCCAACTTACATTGTTAGGTGAAAACCACATGTACCTATGCGGAGATTTCAGATCAGCGGAGATCATCTTCGTCCTCGACAATTTCATGGGGATTTACTTTGATACGGTGGGCTAAACCTCGAAGATATGTGCGAATTCGATTATTATTTTTGTATGTCTCGTAGGTCCTAACCATCTCTTCTATTCTTCTAAAATTGGTTACGTATTTTGTCTTGATCGGATGTTTAATTCTTGAATACCCTGCAAGCAGTTGTGTTATGAGGCCAGAATTATTTGACTCGTCCTTCCGCAAGAAGTCCATGAATTTCCAGATGTTTGGGTGATGAGTGGCGACTTTTTTCTGAAAACCAGAATGCCACCCTTCAACAGAATTGGTGGTTCGCATTACTCCGGCTCTAACAGTCTCAAATACATTCCAAAGTTCTGGAGGAAAGCGAGGTGGCACCATCCTTCTCCTCCTTGCAACGCCTCGTAAATAATTTCTTTCGAAGTAATCAAGAAAATCATCCAGCTCGTCTCCTTCATTTTTACGCCAATTACACGCCGGAAATTTAGATACTTCTTGAGCAATACTTTCCCTCCTAGTCCTTCATTTTCTATGGCAACGCATATCAGCTGAATTGACTATTAACATTAACCTTCAAAAGCGTTACCGAGCTTCTGCTATGCAATAGGTCCTTTCGAACACACATTCGCTTACCGCGGCTTACCGCGGTATGTAAATACTGTGGACATAAAATACTGTGGCCGTAAATGTGGTGGACATTAATTTTTTGGACATTCAAAATGGACATAAAAGCGGTGGACATACGAATTAGTGGACATATAGTCCGTGAACCAATGCGTAACCACGCGTCTCCATTTGGATGTTTCAAAATTTCCGCGCGTATTTTACTTTTTTGGAATTGAACAAGCCAGTTTCAATAGCTTGACATTTTTGCAGAATAATCTGACAACAGCAGAAAAATCAAGAAATTTTTCCAGAAATTATGTTGACCAGTTGGCCAAAGTTTCTTTGGCCATTGATTTAAGATAAATTCAATGAATAAATGAATAAATTTTATAGACAAATTCAATGCAACATAGGCCTTTATCAAAGAGAAAGCCCATTAGAAAAGTGTCTTCAGTCTCCTCTATTGAACTCCAATGATGTCTATACACTCCACTCAAAGGTACTCAACCCTTAATTGGATCGCGTTCAGCAGAAAGGAGCCATGCCACATCAGCTTTTGCCAAATTCAAGTCGTCAGATAGCGCCTCATATTTATGTTCAACATAGAAATGAGCCTCCTTGAGCCTTGACATGTTTGTCAAGTTTCAGGCTATTATTTATTTTTATGCCTGCCACGCAAAAATCATGAAATTTTTGTACATTGAGGTGGAGGAGGGGTCTTAGAGGGTTAGGTAAATGGGCAATTTAATTTTGTACGAGAGAACGTTTGTCCGGATTCCTTAGATCAAGGAAGTCGCTTCGCACTATAAAGAAAATTCACTGTTTGCACAAAAATCCGCACAATCTAGTCGTGTAAAAAATTGAAGTGCCAAATGAAATTTGGAAATAGCTGATGTGACTGGGTTCCTTTCTGCTTAACGCGGTTCAATCATCGTTTTTAACGGACAGTGTATTGATTTACGTAGTACGCGTCGTGGTGAGAGGCATGTCCTCCCCTTGACTTGGTTCCTTTCTGCTTAACGCGGTCCAATTATAGTTTTTAAGAGACAGTGTATTGACTTACGGAGTACGCGTCGTAGCGGGGGGCATGTCCTCCCCCGGAGCCGTAGTAGTTCACTTGAATGTCTCCAGCGGTTTCATCGCTGAGTCCGGTCAAGGCATTTGTGTGTTTGAGGAGACTCTCAAAATTCGAAATCCCTCTCTCCAGAAAAATAATCTTTCTGTACCTGACGTACTGGTCTACCTCATACTCAGCACTGGATCCGTTTCTGGTAGCTTCTCTCAGCATCTGGAAGAAAGAAATAATAGGTGCCGAATGTACACTTTATGTATTGGATTTTATTTCACGAATAATGAATTATTCGTAGAAGCCCTAGAATTAAAATTGTGGGGTAAAATTCTACAGGTTAGAGGTAATTAATATGAGACTCGCGGCGTCAGTTTATGTGTGTTGAATCGGATGAATTCCTCCCCCTCTTAACAGAAGGGCGTAACTACACCCTGTAATGAACCCTGTCGCCCTTATAATACAAATGTTTCTCGGGTTCATCTCAATGTGTAGTTACGCCCTTATGTCATCAGCCAGGCAAACAACTTAAGCAGCATCAGCCTAACTCCTTTCATGCGCTTTTTTTTCACGGCAAACTGAAGAAAATGACGTCTCGGAATTTTCTGTGAATGTTCTACGGTTTATATGTAGGGAAAATGATCGCAAATTTTAATTTCGAATACTTTTAATGAAGTAAAACGTCCGAATAAAAACGCTTAAGAACTTACCTGATCACGCGCTGACTCTATTATTTTATCGATTCCATCATTAGTTAAGAACTCGTGATAAATGGATATTTTAGGTCGTAAGTGTAATTCCTCCTCTTTTAAAGGTGACAAGAAAAATAAAGGCGATCCTTCCCTCCTGAGGTGACACCTTAGGTCAGCTGTGTTACTCCGAGGAAACTTGATGAGCTGTTTGCAAACTTCTTGAAAGTGAGATTCTCGAGTTGGATACGTCCAGGTTTCAAGAGACGTGTCATCCTGAAATGTCAACGAAAAGAGACAGAATCAGAAGTATCAAATTTGTCGTGTTTGATCAAATCGTCGTCTTCCGCGCGAGGGAACGTAGCTAAATGTCTTCGTCGCAAATTGCAATTTTACCTGGAGAAACTTGGATATTTCTACCTGAAAATTTCACTGATTTTTCTCACGGTCACCCACAAAAATCAGACAAATTTCGAACAAAAATTGCGAAGGTACATTCTCGTAAAAAATTGAATTGTTTTAATCGATATTGCAACCTCGAAATTGAGTTACGTTCCTTCGTGCCAGGACATGACGAAATGCCGAAACTTGCAAAAAACATGACGAAACTGATTTTTTTTATTTCTTTTTTTCATGACGATCTAATGAGATATGATAATTAATTCAACAATACATTTAAGGGTTATGAGGCTTGTAACCTGAATTCAGCTAACTTCCCAGAAGTAATGCAAAAATGTTCAGGTTCCATAGTTCAGTTTAATAACTGAGTTTTGGGGGAAAAACATGGAATTATGGGAATAGCAGTACTTACAGGAGAAATGCCTTCATTCATGTCGTTGACTGGTTGATTGTTAAGCTTCGACTTAAAGTGAATGTACATATCGAAGTAGGCGTTTGTGTCGTCCATTTTCAATCGCGTCGTAAAGTCATGTGTTAAATCTACAGCCTCTTTGATACTTCCTAAGAAAAGAAGACATGCTTGAGCGCATAAACTTCAAGGAAGAAGACGAAAGGAGTAATACGACGGTCATCCAAAAAGTAAGTTTCCCTACCTTGTATCTTCCGAACGAAAAGAGATAAATCAAATCAGTAATAAGGGATATATTCAAAATATTCTAAGCTTTAAAACAAGCTCAAGTTTTTGAAAATCGGTCAAGGGTTTCGCGAGTAAACTTAATTTTACTGAGACAACCTCCTGTCGCCGCGTGCCCACCTCCGGGGTCAGGATGCGCGGAGACTCGGGTTATCGCCTCTATACATCACATCAACAAGAAATTTTAAAGTTTTCATTGAGTAACTACCTTAGTAGTAGTTAGTAGTAGTTACCTTACTTTTTGACGTAGTCTCCACATCTTCTTTGACATTTTTGGTATCATTACAGCAGCTTCTTGACGCCCTCCGTGTAGAAGATCTCGTCTTGGCTCCGAAACTAGCCATTGACAGCGATCTGCACTTCCAAATCAGTTGCTTTGAGTAGGGAAATTTTCCCCCAATCCTTCAAACTTTCGTATTTTAGCTTCATGCGACTTTCATTTGTTCCCAAGCGGAAAAACTTCCACGATGGAAGCGATTTTCAACCGATTCAGAGGTACAGATCGCATGTCAATGACTGGTTTCAGAGTCAAGGCGAAAGCTTCTACGCGGAAGGCATCAAGAAGCTGCTATGATGATACCAGAAATATCTAAAAAGATGTGGAGACCATGTCAAAAAGTACGGTAAGGCCTACTTAATGGAAACATTAAAATTCCTTGTTGATGTGATATATAGAGGCGATAACCCGAGTCTTCTATGATGGACTCTCCGCGCATCCTGACCCCGGAGGTGGGCACGCGGCGACAGGAGGTTGTCTCAGTAAAATTAAGTTTACTCGCGAATCCCTTGACCGATTTTCAAAAACTTGAGCTTGTTTTAAAGCTTAGAATATGTCTAATATGTGCCTTCTTACCGATTTGATTTATCTCTTTTCGTTTGGAAGATCCAAGGTAGGGAAACTTACTTTTTGGATGACCCTCGTAACGCAAAATTTAGTCAGTTCTGAATTCTTCTTAGAATTTTCTTACAGAAACCAATAAGTAAAAAATTTATGAGTTTCATGCTACCCTAAGAGCGCTATACGTATGGCATAATAAGTAATAATAAGTATGGCATCATAATTTGCCGAACGGAATGGACCACCAGGTAAAGTATGAATTTGAACATATTGACACATGTTTCTTAACTAGAATTTCACGTCAAACACGATTCTTGCATTGACAATTACTTAATTTAGCTCCTTTTTATGGCAATAACGCTTTTATTTTACATTGATTACGAGAAATTTGAATTGCCCGGTCAGAAACAACACCATACCAACAGGTCCCCACTGGCAATTCGTGATGGTTCCCATTGGGATCCATCGGAATTTCGTGGATCCCACTGGGTCCGCAGAGGGTCCTATCGGATGCCACGAACTACCTATTGGCTCCCATTGGGATTTCGTGAATCCCATTGAGCGCCCGTAGGAACCTAATGGGTTCCCATTGGAATTTAGTGGATTCCTATAGGACTGTTTAACCAGGGCAAATTAATTGTGGGAGTGAACTAAAAGGGAGAGGGGTGGAGGGGGGTCTCTTGCAGGGACCTAGTGAAATGAAACAGTTACATCTATTAAACGCCGTGTTCAAGGAAAAGAACAGTGAGAGTACAAGTACAAACATACAATTTTATGTGCTAATAAGGAGTACCTCATTAATGATCCAAATCCAGCACCTTGGCGGAATCCAAAAATCTATTGGTAAAGGCACGTTTCTGTGTGAGCCACGGTTAGGACATGCTCTTATGTGTTTCAAGGCTCATACCAGATTTTGCTTACTGCTCTTTTCCGTAACATGGCAGTAAGATCCAACTTCTGTTGGAGGGGGTCACAGCAATTGAGAAATGTGTTAAGCCCTCTAAAACTTTTATCTCCCCACTCATGAACATCATGAGCTGAAATGTTGCTAGGCCACATAAAGTATAACAACTCTTGAAAGTTCCAACTTAGAGTTTAAAATCAAGACAAAATATAGATAAAAAATCAAGCCTCGCCTTGAAAATGCCATCACACGACTTCTTAATTCTATCCATGAGATTTGAAAAAGATACCTGTTTTAGATAGAGCAAATGCCAGATCTGAGATCAACATTTGCTTGTTTAGCGGTGGCTCCTTTTTTTCATCAAACTTCTTGTATGCTTCCTTCAGCCATTCCAAAGCAGCAAACTGTTTCGTAGGGTTATAAATGCAATGTGAGGCTATAACTTGACAGTCGCTACCTGAAAAATTGAATTAACACACTTTTCACTACGGAACTAGCTATCTTTCTAAAACGCGATTCCCAAGAGCATAGTAGTAATCTACGGGTGTGAAGTATGGCTGATGAAACAGCGGACCCCGGAGGTTCGAGAGGCAACAGAGATGGACTTCTGGTGTAGATCCGTTTTTATTTCTAGACATTATTCTATGAAATTATTCTAAGCTGTTTCAATTTTTGATCAAAGTTGAGGGCCAAAATAACCCTCCTTAATGGGACACATCCTTTTCTTAAAACATCGCAGTCTATTTCAAAATTCAAACTGTCATAGCCCCAGTTTGATTCCATAATTTCAGGTTTTCTACACACTTATCATCGTATTTGTCAGGCGTTCTTCTTCTAAAAGTGCTAGTATTTCTCTGCATTTTTGGCATTAAGATCTATCTCCTCAAGGCTGAACACGAATATGAAAGAAGAGGCAGAATGATACTTACTACTTAATTTTGTCGGATACCTTGCGTTTTGATGGTGGCCATTGGCTAGATCTTTGACGGACAGGTTCATCGATCTTTGCATCCCCAAAAAGACATGAACAGTATTTTTAAGTTGAGTCATCGAAGGATAAGTGAATTTTGCAAGCTTTTGATATTTTTTACCTAGGTCTGAAATTTCAATCATTCCAATAAATTATATTAAGGATACGCTGGGATCGATTAGCAAATGAATTAATTTGCGCATAATAATAATTTTATCAAACAAGATTGAATGGGATCTCTCGCGAGAGTGACCAAATGAAAGTTCAAACTGGAATGGAAATCATACAATTTTAAAACCGACAAAAACTGCCCATTAATGAAGACAAGTATGATTAACAAAGTTGTACTCTAGCAATGGTTTTTCCATGGACTAATATGTTAAACTATGTTCGCATGTTTTAAAAATGTCCCTATAAACTTGACCGGTAACTTGACCAGTGCCATCAAAATTTCGTTGCCACCACTGAAAATAGTATTTCTCTACCTCAAAATGAGAAGAAGAGACACGGAATAAAACCCCACTATTAAACATTCTAATATTCATGTCTAATTTCCGAAGTGAGTCTTTTGTACCTAAAAAGTTCGAAATTTAGTTTCAAGACCTTACTTTGGAATCTTCCGGTCGTTTTAGATATTTTCAGCTGCTCTTAGAAAGAACACTCGTATACCAACCTTATACACAACATTGCCATGGCGAGAGCTCAATTGTGACAGGCCCTGAATTGTTCAAAATTCTTCCGAACCTAGTATTTCTAGTGATATTCAATAGTAAATTGATCGAGTCGTTGTCTTAGCAGTAAGTCTTTTCCTGTAGACGGGTGCCTATGTTTGACAGTTAGGTACGCGACTGTTTTTGCGGACTCCATTCAATATTTTTCTGCAGTTCTCTCACAGCGTCCCAAAGATCTGTGTGCATATACGTAAGTGATCAAGCAGATTCTCATAATGTTTCTGCGGTTTCTAGTGGCAACGTAGTTTTTTGTCGTTTCTCGCATTTCCTTCTGGGTAAAAATAGTTTAGAAATTGGCCGGTAGTCATTTTTTTCTTCCCATAAATCTCTGTCTTTTCATTGAGGACAATTTTTTCGCGATGTTGTCATCTAAATGGCTCTGTTGCATGCAAGAAATTTCCACACGCAATGTTATAGGAAAATCACAATGGGCGTGTCAAAAAAGTTTAAAATCCGCTCCTCATCGTGCAAGCCGTGGAGTTTGCAATATATTGCAACACACCTCTTCAAATCTACCTTGTCCATAGGCAGTTTTCTAAAGTCAACGTGGCGATCGCAAAGCTTGCACGGTAAGGAACGCAGGAACCCAGCCAGAAAAATTGAACAATCTTTCAACATTTTTCTTTCGTTAGATATCAATCGTTTTCAAGCGTTGATTTTCTCTTCATTTCTTTGTGTTGAAAAAGCAAAAAAATTCAATCAAAATCAATTATACGTAAGGGAACCTTGTAAAAATGCAGGTGATTTTTTCGTCTATATACCTAATATAGGTTAAATTTTCTTGCGCCTCTCACTGCGCAAACCTGATTGCCGACAACTAGAAAAAACTGCGCACAGGCCTGGAAAATTTGGAAAAAATTGCCACAAACTTCGCAGACCGCGCACCTAGGAGTGAATTTCAGACTTTTTTTTACTCCCTCTCTTGAATCAGCCCGCTTCACCTACAAAATTGTATTCGGGAGCTTTATTTTAATTATAAAAATCCGTTGGTCCTCCGAGAAGGGCCGGCGGATGTGTAGGGTGTGGCCCGTAGGCTAGTAATGTTTTAATTGACGCTCCACAGACTGTGACACCACGACCAAGGCTTCAGTGGGGCGCCTCAGTATTTATTTGCCCTAAAGGGTGAAAAAAGGCCTAAGCCTGTTAGAGATTAGCTGCGCCGAAAACGGCGGATATCACGGCGCAAAAAGTCGCTCCACCCCTCTAAATTATTTTGGGCCCAGTCAAGAGAGCGAGGAAGCTTCATAAAGCTACCACCTGGCTGCAATGCAGTCCCTGCGGATCACCGCTTGATCTGTGNGGGGGGGGGGGGGGGGGGGCAAATCCTAGGATATGGGCTAACTGATTCAACGGGCAGACGTTTCTACGCGTTTATTTTGGTTTTCTCATGTCACTACCCGCGAAGCTGTTCCCAAGACTGTACTTCTCGTATGCAACAGACCTATACTTGCACGGAGAGAAAAACTTCGTGCGTGGGACCCGAAGTTGAGGTCATATGGATCTCTGAAGTTTTTGGATCGCGTATCTAAAAACTTGAGGTCCAGCTGCCGAAGTTCGGGTAAGACATCTGAAGTACTTCGATATATACCGAAGGGTTCGGGTCACACATTTGAAGTACTCCGGTACATACCGAAGTGCCTCGATTTCTGACCCGAACTTCGGCAGCTCGACCTCAAGTTTTTGGATGCGTGATCAGAAAACTTCAGAGATCCATTTGGCCTCAACTTCGGGTCCCATGTACGAAGATTTTTTCTCCGTGTGCGTCTCAGTGAAAAAGCAAAGGAATTGAGAGGCTCGGAGGACACGGTGCGTAAGTATCGTTTTTGCTAAATTGAGAAATGCCTGTTTGAAATTTCGAAATTACATGGATTATCAGGGCGGAATGAAAGTTCAAACTGACTTTTTGATGCTTAATAATTGGAAATTGGGAGCGAATTTTTCGCAGAATATGCATTGAGACTGTATCATACGCCTTGTCTTCTAAGCCTCTCAATCATTCTTAGATTAAATGCTCAGTCAGGTATATTATGAACACATGGACTCAGGTTTTAGGAGGAATAATGCATGCAAAATAATATTTGAAATAGTGCCGGATGCTTTCACCTTTAAGAGGATTCTTTTTAATCGTTTTCAAGGTATCCTCCCAATCGTAGTGTATTCGTTTCACTAATTTGAAGTGTTGTATAATGTCACCGGCATATCTATATGCATCTAGTTTCAAATGGTTCTGCTCAAAAAGATAGTGATTCTTCATGCTGTAACAGAAATTTAAAAAAATAATATTTTTAGTGGCTTTAAAAACCGATTACAAGTTTTATTTTCAATGCGTTGCCAGTTTTGCCAAGCTCTCTCTGAGCTTACAGTAAAATAAATAAATTAAATCATGATGATAAGGAAAATCATCCTGATGATTCTTTTCAACTATGTAAAACTGGGCTTGGACAATTCACATCGTTGTTGCAAATGAGTTAGAGTGAAAGGAGGAGAAAGCTCGGAAGAGTTAAAACGAGGAGAAACGGAGTAATTTTTAATTGTATTGAAGGCGATTAATAGAAACAATGTGTTGTGGATATAATTCTAAAATTATAAAATGATGACGTCTTTTAATTTCGACACCTTCATTTATCCGTATGCTCGAAAAAATTTCAAACTGTGATTATGTTTATGCTCAAGTCTTGTAATAATACTCTGATGCTGGCGTAAGCCCAAAGTTACTTAAGTGAATTATAGAATTATATCCACAACATCTTGGACCTACTCATCTTCTGCAACTAGATTCATTTTGGTTATGTCTACCCGTTTACCGTACCTTTTTACTTGAATTGTATAAATTCACGACCTTACGTATTTTGGGGAAAAAAGTCAAGTTCATATAAGGTACTTACAGTTTTAAATCATTTAATTTTTTTACGATCGATAGAATTGCTTCCTGTAGAAAATCAAGCAGGATTGAATCGATCTCTTGGTAGTCCTGAAGCAACCGCTCATCTATTGACGTTTGACATGCCACTTTTCCGCTTGAATACAAGTGGTAGCTCAAGACAGCCATTGCCAAATGCCTGTTTAAACAAATGGTGTAAAATAATTCTGCGAAGAATTAAATGATAAAATATAACAAATGGTGATTTTTTTAAAATTGTTTCTATTTTCATGGTGTGAGATAATATACGACCTTGAAAAGCTGAACTCAAAGAGAAGTCCAAGTGTTCTCTTCCTAAAAAGTTAGAACTTTATTGTTATTTTTCAGCCTCTAGATGCCCAAGCTGGATCAAATTAACCCGAGGCTCCCGAAAAACACGTGCTCCGTGGATTGTGTGGGGCCACTACGTACGAGCTTTCGATATAGCTTTAAAAATCCATCCCTAAAAAAAATCAGACATCAAATTGAAAAAAAGAGACAAAAATCTGGTGTGAACTCAGCCGAAAGTAGGAGAGACGTATTCGGGCCTCCTGTTTAAACTTTTCTCCCGAATCTGAGAAACACTTAATTGGTAGCATAGAGTGGAGTATTGTGGGTTCAGGCCTCGCGCCATTGCGCCTTCAGTTTTACAAACGCAACACGGACATCCATCAAGCATTAATAGTTGTATCTATGCGCCGTCATCAACGCCCGTTTAGGTGTCTCGTATTTATGAGATCTGAGAAAGGTTAAGCTTCACTTACTTTAAAACGTGTGACCGAATCGATAATTACTTTGAGAAAAAGAACCCTAGAAGGCCGCGTCTAAGAGTTGGTATTTCTGCGAGAGTCGTGTCTAATTACATAATTTATTTTTGACGACCACCCCTAGAAATCCTAAGCTGGCTAATCCGACAATCTTCTCTAAGGGATCTACATATGGGGGATGAGGAGGGGGTCAGAAAGTGTCAGTATGTTACCAAAAAGGTGAAAATTTCAAAAATATATTCCTTACCTTAAAAACATAGAAAAAACTTAGAAATATAGTTAAAAAACTATCAAAATCAATGTATTTAAATACGGGTTACTTCAACCCGACTTGGAGGTTTAAGGAAATTTTTGGAATATTTTGTTGTTTCTACATATGTTTATGTAGTGTGGTTACGTACGTGTAGTTTACGTCCACACGTAAAATTGATAACAGTGACTTGGTCCAAGCGTCATATTTTAGTCCGTATATACAATTATAATGACAATATTGAAATGAGTAAATTAAGAGAGAAGGAGATGTTGTGTTGAAAACTCATTTTTTGAATGAAATGCTACTTTCCTCTTTTGATGAATCTTTTCAAATTGACATTGGTGAACATTTGGTCTTATTTTTATCCATAAAACTCTCGATATAAAATGTACCTCACTATACCTTTTCTTTTTATTTTTCTTTTTTTTTTAAATGAAAATATTACTTCATTTTAAAAACATTTACTTTTTAAAACGCGGCAAATATTTGTAAAACCTTCTCCAAGCGATGACATCAATTTTAATCTCCATAAGCCATACTTGTGTTGAAAGGAACTATACAAAAATGAATAAAAGAGGGGGTAGGAAACAAAGAGAATGCAATCTTTGGTTTTAACCTACTTGTAAGTCGATTTTTTAGGGTCAAATACGTCAAATTTTTCCAAAATTCGACGCACTGTCTTCTTCGCTTGACCGACTGCTGGATCGGGTCACCCCTCCCCCTCCCTTCAATTTTGTATGACACTGTGCAACACCTCTATTGTGAAATAGTTGCTTGAGGCGCCGCACGGTGCGGCCCTCTGTGGACAAAAATAAAAAATCCACAACTCGACATCTGAGTATTTTTTTGGAATTTGTCATCTTAACAATGTTTCTGACTCACAATGATGCTTTATTCTCAAATTTTTCGCTCAAAACTACTTTGAATGTGAGTAAAAAGTGCGCGGAAAATAGATCGGTCCCAAAAAATCATTGGTCCATAAGAAATACACAGGAAAAAGACGTCAACTTCAAATGAAGATTTCTCATTTGAAACGCAAAATACTCTGGGTGGTTGACATTTTCTTGATATACCCAACTTCAATTCTACCAAAAAAATCTTGCGACTTTTTGCGACTATCAGAGATATATGAAGTTAAAATTTGGGTGTTTCACATTGCTTTTACATTGTTAATATAGGGCTAATTTGAGGTTGCCAACTTCAAATGAACTATTCTAAAAAAATACTCAAAAAAAACATGAGATACAACATTTTCTTATTCCTCGAGTGTTTTACTTTGATAGTGCCCCAGGGGTTTCCTATGTCGGTGATACGATCTTCATAATTTAAAGTTAAGTGTCTTTTACCGATTTTCATCCGCATCGTCAATACGGATTCCGCACTGTGCGCCGTGGCACGCTGCGGGATAATGGGACGCATTTGCTTTATGTACCTTTTTCTCAGGATCTACTGAACCGATTTTCAAAAATTTTGTTTTGTTCTAATCCCTGCACTCTCCTGCACATTTTAACACGAGCTTTTCCAAAATTTCGAGCTGGATTATTTTTAATTAGAATTCAAATATCCAAATTATTTGATTTCTAACAAAAAAATTTCAAAACTTCACCAAAATTTCAAATTTTTAAATTTTAAAAAAAGCCCTTGTTAAAATGTTCGGGAGGTTTCAAAGTTTAAAACAAAAAAAAGAGAAGTAATTTTTGTTCAGTAGATCCTGAGAAAAAGGTACAAACGTTAACATTGGGAAGATAGGGTGTCTGGCTCCCCTTAAGTTCTGAACCATATCTTCTGCTATCGAATGCGAAAAATCATGGAGAATTTCAGTTTTATGTTGACCACACAAAAAAAATAATATGCTGTTTTAGCACTTAGGATGTTAAAAATGTGTCTGGTGATCCGAAGTTGTTGTCTTTACTGCTTTTGCAGTTAACTTTACATCCTGTGAATGCAAATGTAACTGTGTAGGCAGTTAAGGCAGCATCTTGGGATCACCAGACACATTTCTAACATCCTAGGTGCTAAAACAACATACTATTTTTTTCGGTGCAGCTTCTCAAAAAAAAAGGAAAAAAAAAAAAAAAAAAAAAGCAGTGAACTCCAACACAATGTGTTGATAAGGCGCGTCATTAACTCACACATATCAACCCCTTTAGTTTTCATTTACAGAGATTTCAAAATAGGCAAGTAGCACAACAAGAGAATTCATACGATCCAACTCTTCGACGACGCACTTTGACGAGACCGTGTATTGTGAATGTAGAAAGCCATTCGAACGAGTTTAAGCTTTTTGATCTGCCCCCAGCAATCAGATTCTTGAAGAAAAGTGCTACGGAATAATTTAAGCGAAGAAAGGAAAAGTTCTGTCGAACTCCTGAAAGATACAGTCGATTGAAAGGTATTTTTGGGGCTAAAATATCCAAATCACCGGTACCTATTATAAATCCCGATATATTATTGAAAAGAAATTGACTCGATATAAATGTAATTGCATTAAATATGTCTTGATTTTGTTATTTTAAACGTATTTCCATGCAAAGAAGTTCAACCATGTCCATGCTTTATTCATTCATGAATTGAAAGTAAGCAATCTACATCCTGAAAATCTACCGATTTGCCTTAAAAATTGCAGAAACTTGATATACCAGGTCGATGCACTCACTCGTTATGAATTTACCAACCAATTTCGTGGGGGGGTGCAAATATATAAAAATCAATATGCTATAGTCATTTTGGGTACATTTATTTTTCATGAAACAATAATAATTTCAATCCCGAAAAACCATCAATTTTCCGTATAAAATCGAAAAAATCGAGATGTGTCGACTCCCTGACGTGAAAATTAGATTCTACGTGTAAAAATACTTACACATGGATATGCTGAACAGAAACCATGTGTGGACACAGTTAGGATACATAGCCCCAGAATACTTTTAAAGCGCCTTTACTTTCCAGAATCTTGACGGAATTTTGTTTTGGCTTAAACGACTCAAGAGACACTGTAGTTAAAAAATATAAAGAATTTTCGATTTTGACACAAAAAAAAAATTTTCGTTCAGGCACACCATGTATTGTATGGTGTATTGCACTGGTATTCAATCCTTGCCTTCAGATCAAAATTCTTACAAGGAAGCCCCTTGCAAGAGGCGAATTTTTTGTAATTTCTCCCAATTTTTTCTTCGTTATATAGTTGAATTGCTTGCCAAATTCTGAGGTCAATTATATTTAATTGTAATTTATACATTTCTTTTTTCCCCTTCATTTTATTTTTTGTTTGGAGAAGTTTCGTTGATTTCTTCGGATTTCGAATACTGTAACTTCTTTTCTATTCGGCCGATTTTTATGAATGAGACCTCTTTCAATTCGTCTTTGAACGGAGAGTAAGGAAAAAATTGTTAAGTACTCGCGAAACAATTTTTTCGAAAATTTGATGGATCCCAGCGTGACAGTGAAATGGGTAATCGAGTGAAAGTAATTAGGTCTGACTGTGACGAGGACCGCGAGGGTCGCCTTTTGTTCTTCAGCTGGGAAGCGACGCGGCGAACCGAGCCAGGACCGGGACACTACCTGGGTTTTGTGCCTGCCCGTGCACTGTTTTGGCCTGATAGGGGAGTGAATTTCTGTATGGGCCACGGTTAGCACATGGTCTAATGAGTCTCGAGGCTCATCACAGATTGCACTTACCACTATCCTGCTGGCCCCGGCTATCAGAGCAAGGAGTACCAAATTTTGAAAATCATAACACCGTTGTGGAGATCCGTCAAAGCAACGTTTTAAACAAAACGAAGAAGTGAAATTTTCGTTCAACGAGTGCCGACCTGTTCAGCCATCCTCGAATCAGTTCGCTTGCTTCTGCTTATATATGCATATTTTAAATCAGCGCGTCGCATTCTAAGGTTTTTTAAAAAAAAACCAAGTAACGCAGACTCTTGGTATTCATTACACATAAACTAGAGACCCCCAGAATGAGAAACAACTTTAAATCATAATTATTGACGGATAAATAAACTTTTTACACGCTTTGGAAAATCTCAGAAGTTCGCGGTAGTCACTTTTCGGTAAGGAACTAAGGGACTCGGTTATTGTATCGAGTGGGGGGTCGAAACGATCGCAAAGGCGGTATACTACGTATACGCGCCAAAAAAAATTCTATGGATGTCTGCCACGTCGCAGATGGAGAAACGCCGTCTCTCATTGTGCTCAAAAATATGTATGTATACAATTCAAGGCATTATGACTTTCCTCTCTCAACTTATATTCGTCTGTAACGATAAACAATGGGACGCGTTTGCTACGGCGCCTTGATACAACTATACAACCTCGACGGATGTCCGTACTGCGTTCAAAAAATTGAAGGCGTTTTGACCTCCTACTCGTACTGCCGGTAGTTGATTCGATCGACAGACGCGTTGGTCGGCGGTGACGGGGACTTGATGCAACTATTTAAACTTGATGGATGTCCGTATCGCACCGACTGATGTGCGAAACCACGTATCTCCATTGCGGTGTTTTAAAATTTCCGTTCTTATTTCATCTCTCCCACGGGAAACAATGCAAAGACTTTAAATTTTGATCCAAATCTTCTGTTATCGAATGCGAGAAATCATGGAGAATTCAAGTTTTTTGTTGACCGGTTTCTCCAGCCACTTGAAAATTGAAAAAAAATGTTCTTTTTATTTTCTGGCTAATCTTAATCTCATACTCCTTACGTTTAATTTCAGACCAAGTTTTACTTGATCTGATGAGTGGTTTTGAAGTTACGCGCGGTTTAGTGAGGGAAGGTTTACTAAATACACTACTAATTACACTAAAACTGATTTTGCTTTTTTTCCCCCCAATTCCTCATTTCCCGAAAACTTCATTCTTCAGCACTCATGTACCTTTTTCTCAGGATCTACTGATCCGATTTTCAAAAACTTTGTTTTGTTTTAATCCTTGCACTCTCCTGCACATTAGCTTTTCCAAAATTTCGAGCTGGATTTTTTTTAATTTGAATTCAAATGTCCAAATTATTTGATTTCTAACAAAAAAACTTTACCAAAATTTCAAATTTTTAAATTTTAAAAAAAGCCCGTGTTAAAGTGTTTGGGAGGGTTCAAAGTTCAAAAAAAAAAAAAAAAAAAAAAAAAAAAAAAAAAAAAAAAAAAAAAAAAAAAAAAAAAANAAAAAAAAAAAAAAAAAACAGAAGTAATTTTTGTTCAGTAGATCCTGAGAAAAAGGTACATACGTTAACATTGGAAAGATAGTGTGTCTGGCTCCCCTTAAGTTTTGACCGGGCATCCGGCCAGCGCCTACAAACCTAGGGTGATACTTCAGGCATTGCCCAATGCGTGAAGTATCCCCTTAGGTTTGTAGGCGTCAATGCGCGTTATGCGCTGTCAGCACGCTGGTCGCTGGTCCGCTCTGTGTTAGGCTCTAATATTTAAACTCGCGGAATCAGCGTTTTTTAACTCATGATTTTGAAGTTTTTGCACATTCTGTATGGATTATTCTCATTTAAATTGATGAAAAAAAATATGAATTGGAGGAAAATATAATGTTTGTTTTGTATATTTTAAGGTGACTCCTTGTCAAAATGGCTTCTAAAGCATTTTAATTTTTACCCTCATATTTTGTGCTTTTACTCTGCTGCAGCGTGGTGTACGCGCAACCAATCGCTCAAAATCGGACGTATTTGAAACTAAAAAATCGACTTTCAAGTATGTTAAGACCAAGGATTGCATACTCTTGGTTTTTTTTTCATCTTTTATTCATTTTTGTATAGTTCCTTTCAACACAAGAATGGCTTATTGAGATTGAAATCGATGCCACCGCTTGAGAAAGGTTTTCCAAATAAATACTGCAGTTTAAAAATGTAAATGTATTTAAAATGAGATAATATTTTCATTAAAAAAAAAAAAAAATAAAAAGAAAAGGTATAGTGAGGTACATTTTATATCGAGAGTTTTATGCATAAAAATAAGACCAAATGTTCATCAATGTCAATTTGAAAAGATTAATGAAAAGAAGAAAGTAGCATTTCGCATTTAAGGAGCTCGGAGGACAAGCCGCATGAGCGCAGTTTTTGAAAAAATTGTGATATTAATGATTTCAAGTAAAATTAGTCGTAATGCATATTCTCTGAGAACTTAGCTCCCAAATTCTAAATTTTAAGCATCAAAAAGTCAATTTGAACTTTCTTTCCACCAAAAGGATTCATGTTACATGTATTTCGAAACTTCAAAAACGTATTTCCCGAAATTGCAAAAACTGCACTATGCACCTTATTCTCCAAGTCCCATACTTATCACAAATGCGCAAATACACTGTTTGAATGAAAGCGTAACTACGTATAGTCGGGGATTACACGGCTTACATACAGGGTGATGATCCTCAGCATGATGTCAGAGACTATAACCGAACGAGAGTGCTTTTCAATGACTACCGGGAAAAAACGGGAGTTTCATAGAGTGCATCTGCTTTCGAGAGATTAGGAACAACTAACCCAACTGTTTGCAGAAGGACTGATGCGGATGTTACCTTTGTTTACTGAGAGTGATTTAACATCCCATAACGCAGTAATCCCGAAAGTTATTTGCCTTAATTTCCCCTAGATACTCAAATAATATACTATTTCCAGTAAAATTTGACAACCGTGAACGCATTCATTGTAATGCAATCTCATAATTTAGGCCGATGGAAAACTCCCAGAGACAAAAAACTCCGTACAGTCTTTGTAAGTTTTATGAGCTCCAAACGCACTATATTCGGATCCAGGGGGCGTACCGCCCCCCCCCCCAGCCCGAAAAAGAGAAGGAAGAAAAGGAGAGGGAAGAAAGAGGGCAAGACGTTTATATTTGGTAATTATTTATGACGGAATTAGCTCAAACTGCATATTAGATGCTTCGAAACTTCAACAATTTTCCGGAACAAAAATTCTTCCGGACCCCCCTTACGCCCCCCTTTCGCTCATGGTGTCTGGAACCGCGTATGAAACAAATGCGATGCCCGCTATGGACGGGGTGTATTATCAGGGTGTTTCAAAAAGGGTGTATCATTACGGTGTTTTTTTTTTTTTTTAAAAACCTTTGCTAAACTCAACATTTCTGGTGCTACTGACCCTCAGTAACATACATATAAGTGTAATTTTGGACTCGAACAATTCTACGAGGATCTAAAGAACCCCTTTTTTCGTAAAATGGGCTGATTTTGAGGATTTATTTTCAAGCTGTATATTTACATATGAGACAATTTTTTGGTGATTTTTCAATTAAAATGCTGGGGGCTGAATGCAAAGCTTGGATGCAAGGGGGGCAGCCTCCTGGGGATTGGGCTTCTTCGATGTCAGGTGGAGCACTCCCGTTGGCTGGGCTCATTAGATGCCAGGTGGGGCACCCCCGGAGTCCTTGTTCCCCAAAAACACGTATCACATTGCTGATTTTCGTACTCTGTTGCCTGGGTCAATGATTTGCCTTCAATTGGCCGGCTATGCAAAATGGCTGTCGTGACGCACGAATAGTGGTATCAGAATTTCGAATTAAGATTACATTGTTGGTTGAAGGCGCTTGTCTGTGTCGTATCTGAGTGGCCCTATACAACGATGTTGACCAGAAATTTTCAGAATTTTGGAGTCTTCAATCGAGGCGTAATTTTGAAAAATGCCCAAAGAATATTATTGCACTTTCCCAGATTTTTTTTTCCTGAAATTATTATTTCAAAAAAGAGGGTCCAAACGCTCGGTTCAGATTGTGGTTTTATGTCTTGTGGCTTTAGTCATCGTATTCTCATGCAAGACTGAGAGTGTCGCCGTTTACAAGATCGCAGCTTACTCAAAAGTGGTTGTGAATTTAATAAGTTTCGCGCGGACAAAATGAGCTTTTGGCGATGCACTGTGAATAATCGGAATTGAAAAAAAGGTGTTTTGTCCACTGGGCCATTTACGAAAGGCGCAGAATGTGGGGGGATGGAACATGGATGTCCTGCGGGTTTCTACGGGCGTTAGATGGCTTAGATTTCTAACGGTACATATGCCAAAAGATAGGGTGAGAAATCGAAAAAAAAGTATTACCTATTTAATTTTTTGGGGTCCACGCAGAGACGATATATTCTAGAGACTACGCACTGTCTTCATACCTATATGGTGTAAAAGTTACTCAAGGAAGCCAATTCTCTAATTCACTTATTGGTGACTCATCGTATTGGGTCAACTAAAGTGTCTAAACAAGCTTAAAGTATGAGTAAACTCTAATTTTGATCTTAATGATTGAGAACAAGTTCAAAACGCTAATTATGGAAATGAGTATCTCGTTATGAAATGTCATTTTTCAATCATCCAATGCTTAATCTGGCCATCTGAGATGACACTGAAGCTTACCTGACGAAGAATTGTAAGCGCGAAACTTTCTTTTCAGTCAATAAATGATCCAAATCCGCCAACAACAGGTTGAAAACACTAATTGCAAAAATGCATATCTCGTGATGAAGTGTCAGTTCTAAGTGCTGAAAACGCGAATTTCGGAAACGCTGCCGTATTTTCTAACAGTTCGAGATAGTAAAGCCAAAATTAACCAAATTAACCAAGCCAAGGAAAAACAAGCCAAGCCGTTCGTGGACTTAAGATGACCCCTAATTTGAATTTATTCTACGCATTTGAAGGCTTGTCAGAAAATGGACTAGTTCCCTTTTTGAGAGAAGGGATGGGAATTCCAATAGTTTGTCGATCGTTTGATAACGTCCCGTTGAAATTACAGAGGATAAACATATTGTACAGCGTGAAGGAGATTCAACCCCCTTCTGATAAAACAGACGTACATTGATTTGATTCAATAAAAAAAGAAAAATAATGAAATGATGCGAGTATTAAGGGAAGGAAAATATTTTAATTACTCGGCGCCGATGATAGAGCGTCATTCCGGGGGAGGGGGAGGGGAGGAGGGGGTGGAATTTAAAGTACGCTCACAACTGACGCCTGATAAAACAAACGGGCTCGAATAAAAAACATTCGCCGTGAAATTTTTTTAATTAATCCTGCAAAGCTTGTAACGTTGCTGCCGACATTGTAGACGGTGAACAAACTCGCGGAATTTTGATTTTTTACACAAAAGTGACGACCGGAGTTCCTCAATTACTCGCTTATTGTGCAAAGGACGACGACCTCCCTAATTAAGAGTTATTTCAGTCGGGGAACTAGGGCGAGACAGGAAATGAAAACACCGCTGGATTTTATTCAAAATTATATTTTAGTTCGTCTTAAGCACTAGACATGATTAGAAAATAATGAACCATGCTAAAACTCTCTCGGTATTTACAATATTAACCATATTTATACGACATTCACATCTTTATCACCAAATCAGTCACACATTTTAACAATGTACATGATATACACGATCAACAACAAAATATAGTTTTCTTCGAGGCATTTTGTGAAATCAACCGTTTATCAAACGCCTACGATTCTAGTTCTATGTTAATGAAGTCCCCGAAAAATTGTAAGATTTCTGAATGCGCTTTTCACCCGAGGAGTAATTTTTCATTTTCATACTTAAACATAAACATGGAAAAAACAGACACATCATAATAGTATCATATCCCATAGTGGTACACCTAACGACCAAAATTTGGAATACAGCTTACTATGTTTTATGGTAAGGGTTGATACGTTTGATCCGATCTTTACTAAGCACATGCCAAGGTTGACTCTGGATCTAGAAAGTATAGCACTCCGTAAAACCTTTTGAAACTGGTTACCGTATATTTGTGTTTGTGAAACTTTAGACCGCAAGTGTTTACTGCTTGTTTTTAGTGGAGTAGCTGTAACTCTTTTAAAATGTATCAGTCCAAATATGCCTGCTCTCAGAGGTAATCTTTTTATAATCGGTATGCAGTAAGAAATTGATAGCTACATAAATAGGGACCCAGTCAAAAGTGAAAAAATAAAATTCACTGCGGATTACCACTTCTGTGTCACATTGTTTTTCTTAAAATGAAAAAGAAAATTTAGGATATTTAATAACCCGGTGAAATTGAATGGAGCACATAGGCGTTTGATAAATCATTTGACTTGACATCATGCCTTATTAATTGGGCTTGTTCATAGGCCACATTTAACATATTTGACTAATTGATTGATGGATATTGACAGTTAACGAAGAGAAGAGTAAAGTGATAGAAATTCGACGACATGTTTCAATCCTTGTGATTGAGCTGGAACTGACCATAACGATGCCACATGTATGGTTGAAATAGACACGAATTGGGGCAAGGTGATAATCTGACCGTGTTAAAATTATTGAACGTATTCATGCCAAAAAAAAACTATGAACAAATTAATTTGAATCAGAGGGAATCATGAGACACGCTAATCCCACGTACATAATCCCTTCCAATCCAATACCTTTCGGCATACTTCCTTTTACCATAAGTAAGTGAAATTTGATGTCACTTTTGAGCAGAAGGGATTTATCTACGAGGTTATTCTACAAAAACACGTATGGTCCATTGTAGGGCTTCGGCAGATGTGCCTTTCTTAAAACCATCTTTATAGATGAGTCTCTTCTACTCAATGGTTTAAAGTTGTGTCAAAATCTGCAGTTTAAGCGTTTTATGACTTCACAATTATATATTACAAAATAAATGGTCTGAAATAGATTTGTTAAATTATCAAAATTCAACAAAATTTTATTTCGAAACAAAGATATTACATTTAATTATCAAAGTTCGAGATGGAATATCGTACGGAGGGATGGTACCTCTTCACAGTAGTGACAAGCCTCACTAAAGGTATAACATAGTGGCGTTGCGTGAATTGCGATGAATCGATTGTTATGCCATTTTAACCTATGGAAAAAGATCGATAAACAGGGTGTCCGCAGCGAGAACCTTAATAATTGATTCTTTACCATAGGTTTAAATGGCATAACAATCGATACATTGTAATTCATGACACGCCACCGGTAACTGGTAGGACAGCATCAATGATCCTCTTAAAAACTTAAAAATTCTCAGTGAACATGAAAGCACAGTTGACGGTTAAGCAAACAGTCACAAATTTGCCCCTTATCAGAAAATTTACTTATTTTAACGAGTAAATTCAAGGTAGAAACATGACGGACCGCATCACAATCCGGCAAGACCTCTTTGCTAATCATGAAACATGATTAAGTACCTCTGAAGATGATTGATCGATGAAGTTTAATTTTGACTGGAAATGCGAATCCTGCATCACGCCTTTGTATTTGAAAACTTAAAGCATGGAGAATGTTGGGGAAACACAGAAGTACATCTAGCGAGACAAATAAATTATGGAGGAAAGGAATGACGGATACATAATACAATTATAACGTAAAACTGTTACATTTGAATAGATCTGCTTACTAAAAGTACGTTCAATGTTGATAGATCAATTCGCGACCTAGATTATTTCATTGCCTTGATTTTCTGTCCTTACTTCCTTGAACACAACTTTCCCCTTGGGTTTGGATACGTTTTCGTTGTCCTGTCTCATGTCACATAATTTATAATTGGAATGCCTCGACTTTTAAAGTTGCACCTTGGCCAATTTTTGGGGGAAAAAAATATTTGACTTTTGAGACAACGCAGGATAAAAAAACGATAATTTAGGATCTTCAGATCCGACTAGAAGACAAGCTGAAACCGCGCGATGCGAAAAGTAAAAATTAGCCGATTATGATAAAATGATATTAATTAAATCATGAATTAAATAATAAAATGTTTGGTCAATTACTCTTTCACGCTCATTTTTCAGGTTTTTTTTCTAACCCATTTATTAATGAAATCCCCCAAAATCCCTTTCTGTGGTCACCCTATTTTCCTTAGCTCAATTTTTCTCCCCGACCTATCCCAATTTTCCGGATCGTTGTCCCTCGGAGGATGGGACGTACTTCCATTCCAAGGTTGCCAAATTGACCTAAACAATCAATTTATTTTTAAAAATCACCCGTGCAATTTTTATCTAAAATTCGTCTTCATGAAATCTGAGAAAAATCAGATAGATGTTCAGTTAGAAATGCCCGAGATTTTCCTGGCTAATGTACGATTTGCGAGGGGAAATTTGGTAACATTGCAATGGTGTTACGTTCTATCGTGAGGAAAATTATAAAGTTTCGGCTGACTTCGGGCACCCTGAACACTGCATTGTTCCACCAAAAGCCTACGGCCGTGAGACTCACGCTGTAAATACCAGAATTGCAATGATTGAAATACCTGTTCAATTGCTCATTACCTACTTAGTTGGGTGCAATTGTTGAGAAACACGGATTCCGTGTTTTTCGGCCGGATGACAGTTCCCGGGGAGGAATTTGTGCCGGAACAATTGCAATGGCGTGGCGTGCTTTGCGATTCATCGATATTTTCTCATTTGAAGCTGTGGTAAATAATCGAGTATTAAGGTGTTTGCTGCAAACACCCTGTTTATCGATACATTCCCGTGGGTTTAAATGCCCGATCAATCGATATATCGCAAAGCACGTCATGCCACTGAACAATTCGTCACGTGCGCTTTGATGCACCTCGTTTAAAATACGTGGGCGGCCTACTAATAGAGGAACGTGCAACGGTGGGAGAAGAGGTGCTTCGAAAATTGGCGAGGCAACTTGCATTTGATCGTAATTTCACGTACGTACCCAGCTCTTGAATATGTCGCCTCATTCAACCACCCGTGACTTCTCGTGAGAGGCTTCGATAGATCGACGACCTGCCATTTAAACCTATGGTAAAGGATCGATTATCAAGGTGTTCACAAAGCACGTTTTAACAATCGATTTTTTACAATAGTCTCAAATATAGGGAAACATCGATATAGCTAATGATTTAAGCCTCGCCACTACCCGGTTACAAATGCCGATTGCAACTAATAGGGTCACAGGTTGATAAAGCATGAACGGCGTACCTAATTGACTCTTTAATGTTATGCTGTAAAACAATTCGATCGGGTATCAACCTTGTTCCTCTTGAAGTACCTATAGGGTGACGAAAAATTGCTGTCCTTACCCGCTTATTTTCTAATGGTGAAATGTTTGTCTTGTACAGTCAAAAAATACACAAATCCATCCGCAGACGTGGCAAAACTTCATCTACAGGGTCATCCAAAAGTCCCGCACCCCCAGCACGAGGCATCACCCCTGTACTGCCGTGCTAAGGAAGAACGCCGTATGAGCCATCAGACGTTGACATATATCCTTCGACAAAAAGTGAATTTCCTGGGAAAATTATGAGTATTTTCCTTCAAATTTTTCAGATGATTATGTTCACAATTCAATCTAAAATGTCTGAAAATTTCAAGGTAAAATATGCATAACTTTCTTTAAAAATACATGTTTTATCTGGAGAAATTCTCGACAGACCTCATTTCTCTTTGATTTTCCGCAAAATTTACTGATGAATCCCGGTTTCCGCTCGTCACAGATGCCATGGCTTGACGCTTGGGGGTTACAGAGGTGGCACAGGACTTTTGGATGAGCCCGTATACAGGCACTCTCCTGTATTATCACGGTCGTCTACCCCCTAAAGCGCTGTCTCCACTCGTCAAAATGGCGTCAAAATGGAAGCTCAAAGTAAATCGATTTCAACGATAAGGGGCTCAAAGTAGGGACTTGATGCGATCGATGAGTGTTGCAACTCAAAATAGAGCGGCGCGACTCTTTTTTGATCAACAATCGCGAACGTAACGTATCTGAATCGACGCATGCGAAAACGTCCGTTGTCCAATACAGGGTTTCATAACTGCGGTGGGTTTCTTTTGCCCTGCGACACTGATGATTCAGATCGATCTCCTTTGTAAACGTTTAATTATACTAAGGGGATTATTTATAAATTTGTTTTACATTCCTAACGTAACCATATTCCGTCTTTAAGTTTCAACGAAATGGTCCACTCAAAGTCCGAAACACCGTATTGGACATCGGACGTTTTCGCGTACGCTGATCAAAAAAATGTGCGACAACTCTTGGATATTGTCATTACCTCTCTGGGTGTTAGAGTAACATCCTAGGATGATACCTTTGCATCCTATCATGCTACATTGACTGCCAGAGTGTCAATGGCAACATCCAAGAGTTGTCGCACATTTTTTCAACAACCGTAACATCCGGGATGTTACTGCAGCATCTTTTTTTCTTCGGTGATTCGTTTATCGATTCACTCTGAGCTTGGATTTTGCGGGGATTTTGAGGAATGGGGGCAGGGCTTAGCACAGGGTCTCGACTATCAAAACACTCTTCTCTCCGTTCCTTCGTCACTGTTTGTTGAGTTCGCCCATGTAGTTGGCCAGCTCGAGGCCGGAGTACTCGGAGTCGTCGAGGTCCTGGAGGCTGGAGTTGCTGATAGTGAGCGTGCTCTTGAAGCTGGCGTTGTTGCGCTCCTGGGCCTTGGGGAGCGGGCGCCCCTGGGGCTTGGGGGGCCCCCGGAGGAGCTCCTGCCCGGCCCCGGCCCCGGCGGCGGCTTTGGCGGCCCCGTTGCTCTGCCCCCGCGGGGTCCGGCTTCGTCCGCCGCCGCCGGCCAGCGAGAGCCGCGCCATGATCCGCCCCGAGCGCGTCTTGGGCACCTCCGTCGAGGTGTGCACCGTGTTGTTGAGCAGGTGCGAGTCCATGTAGGATTGCGTCGCCGAGTGCCCGCGCGAGACCGAGTTGTTGCGCTGCTGCAGGGCCGGACGACCGAAGCAGCAGTACCCCTGACCCAGCATGTTCTGAAACAAGAATCGCCGCGTTAGAGATTCACCAGGCCAATGCACCACCATCAAGATCAGACAAACAACTTAAAACGGGACTAGGGCCGCAAATAATAAAAAGAAACACATAAAATAAAATAAGGAACCCGGGACGTTTCGCAGGGATCACACCTGCATTTTCAACCGGCAAAACAAGAAAAAATAAAAGAAAAGACACTATGAGCCTCGATCACCGTTGTTAATGTGAGACTGATAATTGCGATAATGATGATGGGAATGCGGGTGTGATCTCTGCGAAACGTCCCGGGTTTCTTATTTTATTTTACGTGTTTCTTTTTATTATTTGCGGCCTTAGTCCCGTTTTAAGTTGTTTCTCTGTTAATGTTTTGGGCCGGTTAAGTTGTTTTTTCCACCATCAATATCCTGAGCATATACAGGGTTATTCAAAAGTCACGCACCACTGCTCATAACTTTAGTTCTAATCATGATATCGATTTGCGGTTTAAGACGTATGTATGTATGAGCCGCTTTTACGGCGCGCTAGGGCGCTCTGCGACGCCTATTCTTCGCGGTTTAAGACGTTTCTCCTCATATCGAGAGGGAAAGGATGGAAGAGCCCACATGGTGCACAGTGGATTGAGTCAATTACCCTGGTAAAAATTGGCAGTAGAATCTGTATTCCAAAATACCATAGACCTACAGCCGGCTATAAGATTTCCAATAGCATCTAAAGCCGGCTACACAATTTCTTATAGCCTTTTATAGCCGATGGCGATTAAGCAACAGCCAGGCGATAAAGTGTATGTAAAACGTTTCTAATTACGGATGCTAGGACCTAGTGAGTTTTTGGACTACTGCTCTCTTTTTGGGCCGTAGTATCTTGATTTATTTTGAGAGGAAAGCTCCGTACTTTTGATGGATGCCTGCCATTCCTAATATATTAGAGCGCCCTCAGTTTCGTATGATACTGTGCAATACCTCTGGTGTGAAATAGTTGCTTCAAGCGCCTTGGCACGCTGCGACGCGGCAGGTGGACAGCTAGTGCGAAACGCGCTTTGGCGCCTACAAACCTAACAGGGATACTTCACGCGTTGCGCAATGCGTGAAGTATCCCTGTTAGGTTTTTAGGCGCCAGTGCATCGCCGCTCCGCTTTGTGTTAGGCTCTAATATTTAATCTGGTGGAGTCAGCGTTATTCAACTCATGATTTTGAAATGTTTGCACATCCTGTATGGATTGTTCTCATTTTAATTGATGAAAAAAAAAATATGTATTAAAGGAAAATATGATGTGTGTTTTGTAAATATTAAGGTGGTTCCGTATCAAACTTAATGATTTCCAAAGCACACGAATTTCTACGCAATTTCTTGCAGCCTATTATAATCGATGGCGAAAAGCAACAGCCAGGCGATAAAGTGTAAAGCCAGGGGATAGGAACTATAGCCCGGCTGCATACTTTTTTATCGCTTCGTATAGCCCGGCCGTATGATTTTCTCCGCATTCTACAGCCAGCTATATGATTTGCTGTAGCCTTCTTTAGCTGGCTATAAGAATTCCTATGGTATTTTGAAACGCAGCTCTTATTGCCAATTTTTACCAGCGTAGAGTGGTCGGCCATGAAATGGTTTACTGTAAAACTGCAAATTTCGGAGTTCATTTCGTCTTAATTTACATTTCAAGGGGTGCTTCAAGTATACAATTTCACGGGAAAACCAAAGAATCCACTTTCAGAATCTCAAAAGTGTGTATAATTGGAGTTATAAGCGTTTAAAGTTTCCAAATTTTGTCCGTCCTCTTCTATTGACTCGGTCCACCGTGTGGCGATACCCTCTCTATCAAGGCTCTATTCTACCTTAATCGAAGAGAACATTTCAGGAGAGGATCTCAAGACACGACGGAACATCTTGATATAATTTAAATCCTTTTAAGCCTCCCATCGCCGAATAAACTTTACATCCATCGACACCGGTTTGAACCGATGCGACTGATCGCAAGGACGATGGCATCATTTTTCAAACCGAATTTTGGTATTAACATTTCACACGCTGCAGCGTTATTTCCGCATTCCTCCCTTTAAAAAATGAGGACGGCCTCTCACGCCTGATCCTTCGCTTTTGTTGGCGCATGGTTAAACTCGCAATTTATCAAGCGCTTGTCGCATTGCCGCCTCAACGGTAAAATTAAGTTAATTTTGTTCAAATTAAAATTGTAAGTAGTTTATTTGTCGCGATTGCATGTTGTTGATATGGATATCCATGGCCGAAGTAGGAAACCATGCATTTCCGATTAAGACGTTTCATTCTTCTTTTCATACTTTATTTTATTTTTCATTTTTGAAAAACTAGTTGATACATTTTCTTGAAAATTTCCTTGATTTTTCTTCTCTATTTACTCATTATTTTGTACACACTTCAAGCTAAAATATTAGGTTTGTTTCTCTTGGAAGAAATAAAAAAGGAGAAGACATTTTGAAACGCCTCGATAGAGGTACTGGACCCTCATTGTGCTATACCTTTTCGGTTCATGTAATTTCTGAGTATATAAGATGATCACAGAGAAAGTCTGCTTTTGAGGAGACGATTTAAGAAGCTGAAATAACATAGTTACTCATTTGGATATATTCGGAATTGCATTAACTCTGATAATTCTTGAAGAGAATACAATCAAGTTAATGATTATTTTCAACTCACCGAAAAACACACGAATGTTTCAAATGGAGCAGATTTTCAAAAACAAATCTCTTCGGGATTTTCCTTTTTTTTGTCGGACGGGACTGTTTTTTTTGCCCACGTACAAAAGGGGACTTGCATTACCTACGCGCTTATACTTATTTGTTCCGATATACTCTTTGAAGCGGTCACGCAAAGCCTGTGAAACGGAGCGAGTTCTCTGTCTAGTTGCAAAATAGAACGATGCATTAGAGCCAAAACCCCATTACAGAGGAAACAATAAAAATAAGATAAAAATCAAAATTTAAAGAACGGAAAATGACGCAAGTCAGTGCGTTGCCCCTCTAACGCAAAAGCGTATCTCTTTTTCCATGTGAGCCCTGTGGGCTGATTATTGAAATTTGTAGATAAAGCTATACACAAAGAAGATATAAGGAGTATAGGACGATATTATCGGTTGAAATAGGTGGTTCTTATAGACTAAGGGGGTAAATGATGGACTAACTATCGGGTCTCTCTAAGTTGCCGTTAGTAAGTCTATTACCTACGTCCTTTGTCCATTGCAACCACCCGCTTCCACCAATTCGATCCCTCCATATCCTTTTTGTCTTCTTCATCTATTGCTTTTTCTATCAGTTTCAATTATCAGCCCGTTGTTTTCTCTGTGGCTCATGCGAAAATTGAGTGTGCTTTGCAATAGAGAAGCGAGTTTTGAGTGCTGCCGTGCTAGGGAAAACCGCCCGCTTGAAATTCAAATATCGCCCAATGTGGCCGGTTTCAGGACATTTTGTCAACGATTTTTTGTCCGCGCACCTTTTTTGTCCAGTGGTTTACGCCCACACGTAAAATAAGCAACGGTGGCTTGGTCCAATCGTTATATTTTAGTCGGTATGTAAAATTATATTGACAATATGGAAATCAGAAATTGAGAGAGAAAGAGGTATTTTTATGATTGCTCATTTGCTAAATGAAATGTTATTACTTTCTCCTTTTGAATCATCATGTTAAATTGTCATTGGTGAATATTTGGTTTTATTCCTATCCTTAAAATATTGAATGTACAATATACCTTACATATGTATAGGTACTTTTTTTATTTTTTTTTTTATTTTTACTTTACGAAATTATTACTTCATTTTGAAAACATTTATATTTTTAAAACGTGACAAACATTTGTAAAGCCTTTTCCAGGCGACATTAATCTCAATGAGCCGCAGTTGTGCCAACAGAAACTGCAAAAATGAATAAAAGAGGGGAAAAAACCAAGAAGCACGCAATCTTCAGTTTTGATCCAGTTGTACATCGATCTTTTAGAGTCAAGTACGTCAAATTTTGGGCGTTTGGTTGCACATACACCTCGCTGCAGCACAATAAAAGCACAAAATGTAAAAGAAAAAATTAAAGTGCTTTGGAAATCATTAAATTTGACACGGAGTCACCAATATTTAAAAAACACACATTATATTATTATTCTCCTTTGATAAATTGATACGTAATTTTTTCCCATCAATTATGAGAATAATCAATGCAGAGGGTGCAAAAATGTCAAAACCATGAGTTAGAAAACGCTGACTATGCGAGTATAAATAGTAAAGCCTAACAGAGCGGAGCGGCGTGCTGCCAGCTCGAGAGGCTCACTGGCGCCTACAAACCCAAGTGGATACATCACGCATTGCACAATGCTTGAAGTATCCACTTAGGTTTGTAGGCGCCAAAGCGCTGGCCGCCCGCCCGCTGTGCGGCGGCGCCTGAAGCAACTATTTCACAACAGAGATGTTGCACAGTATTATACGAAATTGAACGTATTAAGAATGACAGGCATCCTTTAAAAGCACAGATCTTTCCTCGCAAAATAAATCAAGATACTTATCGTACACAGGAAAAATCTAAGAGCCTTTAGCTGAGGCAAATATAGAGGTTTATCTGGTTCAGGTATAACAAGGGGGGAAAATCTTGAAAGATAATTAAGTCCTGTTACACCCTGTTACACCAAAGAGGTGTAGAGAGTTTTAGTGAATTTTGTCTCATGGAATTGACGCTCCCCCAGTTTTACCAAAACTCTCAACTATATATTATTCCCCGTTGGACCAAACAGACAGAACAAAAAAACAAGCAAACCCTCATTCTTCCAAGACATTATACATTTTCATCCAAAAACGTTGTGAGCAATGGTCGTTTGTATTTACATGTGGGCCAATTACCTTTGGGTCTCAACTGGCACGTGGACCATAACTCCCGTGCCGAAAAAACGCGTGGACGTAAATTACTGGAAAAAAACAGGTGCGCGGACAAAAAATCGTTGACGAAATGTCCTATAACCATGTGGCCAAACAAAACCTTACGTTTTGAA